AGCACTAACTTACGGGCTGGCACTGGCACTGGCACTGGCAGACAGACAGGCAGGCAGGCAGGCAGGCAGGGACTGGGGCTGGGGCTGGCTGGAATCATGCGATGTCGTAAGACGGTAAGAGACACTCGAAAGAGGGTCAGGTGCAGTCCCTGAAAGGTTTAGTGTGGTACAGGGAGGGCCCGAAGCCGCCAAGCCACTCATTGAATTCGACATACAATCCATGAGACAAGTAAGTTAGTTACTGTACTTCTTGCTTCGTACAGTGCTCTGCAGCACTGTACCTACCTGCATGCACAGAACTCTACCAACTGTACCTAGGTGAGTTTTCCCCCCTCCTCCTCCCTCCCTCTCTCTATCCCTCTCTCCATCCCTCCCCTCCTCCCTTCTTCCTTGAACAGTACTCGGAATCCCGCTCCCTGCCTTCTTCTCCTCTTCCCTACTCCTCTCGTCTACCCCTGCTTGGTCAAAATCTTCTACTCCTCCTTTCCACTCGTTCGCTCCTACATGCGCCTAACCTGTAGGATGTGGACCCCTGCTTTTCTCCACCCTCCTTCCATGCATGCGACACATCAGCCACCAGAAGATTATTTATGCGATCACAAGCTCCCACACTAGCAATTTTCCAAAGGAAAATAAAAAGACAAATAAGTAAAACATAAATAAAAACCCGCCACCAACGAGAGACGACCTCCGATGGCCTCTGAGGTCGCGCGTGCTCTTTGCACCATCTGTCGTCAGAGGCAATGAGAACAAGATGAAGAAGCTCCTCCATTTACTGCACATAAGTCCTACAATCTCCGAAACACGGCCAACTCCTTCCAGAGTCAACGCGGAGAGATAACTAAGCTTACCCCTGTCCGATTACAAATCTGCCCTCCTCACGTCCCCTTCCCCCACCCCCCCGCGCGCGCGCAGAGGATGCGACCTAGCAGCGCTAGTTGTCGGAATAAAGGGCGCCTGACCAGAGATATAGTTCTTCCGAGTCCCTGGATGGGAGTCGGCAGGATCTGTCCGACAACCGTGGAATCGGGGCAAATCCAAGGACGATTTCAAGCTTGCCGAATGGTTTTACTAAATCACTTTGCGTCGTTATGCGGGGAAGGGCTGATCGTGGTTCCCGGTTTCCGAGGACCCCCTCCTTTTCGCCTCCATAGTTCCTGGGTCAATCTACATACGTAACTATGACTGGTACTACCAGCCCATACAAATGCAGGATGAACAACTTGAACTTGTCATAAAAAATGTATACAAAGTGAAGACTCCCCAATGCGTAGTAAAAATAGGAAGCAGAAAATCGCAGCACCCTTTTTCTATCCCAAGATTTATATCACAAGCAGATTATAGCGTCAAACAAGGATTTTAACCCTAGTCACGGCGTAGTCTATAATAACAAGACCGTCCCCTTAAAAGCAACGGGAAGGGAAGAGTTGTTTCCGCAGCGACGTCCTTCGATGAATATGCACTCGTAGATCGATAAAGTCGAACAAGGGTAGAATCCAGAATAAGATTAGTCAACATGGCGTAGAATGAACCGCCTCTTAGCGACTTTTGAGACTAGTGAGCATGGCCTAATTGCAGGAACAATGGCAAAATCATGCCAACGACAGAAGCAATAAGATCTCTCATGGACTTGTCGTGCTTCGCTGGGAGATCCCGAGGATCACCATAGCCATTTGCAGGAGATTCGCGGGAGGTGTTGGGGCTATTTTCTTGCATCGTATGCATGGCGACATATCTGCAGAACAGTTAAAGGTTTAATCTTGATCGGCGCGCGTCTAAGGGAGAGCTCACAAGAAGGTACCAGCAGAGAACAACAGCAGTACACCTGTCCTCCAACGCGTACTCATTTCGTCGCCGCTGGAGCCCGAGCCCATGACTTGCACAAATAAGAAAGTCATCAAAGCTCCCAAGGGGGCTGCCAAACTAAAAACCAACAAATGAGCTCTGGCGGTGCGGCTAGAGAGCCCCTGCTTGAGCAGCACAGAAGTGAGACCGAAGGAAGCCGGGGCCTTATGTACCATGATCGCAAGGAATATGATAAAGCTGAGTCCGGAGTCGGAACTAGATGCACCCAGGGCGATTCCATCAGCGGCAGCATGGATGACGAGTCCGGTAGTCGTGGCGAAGCTGTGACTACTTTTGGGGACATTTCCAGCGTCCAGGAGACCTCCTTCCCGTGACGGGGATGAATTCCGTCGCAACCCCGATCCCAGGTTGTCCAGTGATATGTGGTAGGGGGTTCTCTCCTGTTTGCTCGGCGATGCTAAAACAGGGAGCTTGTCAATAAGGTACATTAGTATGAAGCCACTGATGAGCGCGATTCCAATCCATGCGTGAGGCGAGCTCTCTTCCTCATGAGCTTTGTGTTCGGTGTCGCCTGATGTCTCTTCTTTCCGTTCATGCATCTGGTTTTGTTCATCACGGGTGACACGTAGCGTAGGTGTAGTCGGCACGCTGTCAAAGTCCGGCGGAGGCACCTCCGCTGTATCTCCAAAACTCAACATATCTCTCGGCTCGTAGATTTTGACTGCCGGCGATTTATGGATTGGCCAATTGACGGCTGTCGATGTCGACCGGGTGCTGATAACATTGCGGACGGCAGGCGAGCTCGCGCTGTACAGTGTCTCCACCCCTTCTGGGATAATGACGATCAAGGATGTTCCAACCAATACTCCCATACCAATGGAGGATATTAGCCTCAGCTGGGAAGGGGAGAGTGTAAAGGCAAGTGGTAATGAGCCCACAACAAAAGATCTGCCGGAGTCGAAGAGAAGCGGTTAGCGAGGGAGTTGTTTGTGACAGTGGACGATGCCTTCATTGAACGATGGATCCTCACGTAATTGCCATCACAATGCTCAGGGCGAGCAGAGTGAAAAGTCCCTCCATTGTTTCTTCGCCGGTCTAGAAGGTTTCAATCATGGTGCCAATTGCGAAAATAATGTTGTCGGCACGCCCCTGATCCTACGTCGGTGGCGCTGCGATATGCGTAGACGCCCGACAACAAACTGTGCAGAACGTGGGGGAACAATGAGGATAATGAGGGAACAAGAGGACAAGATCCGGGAGAGCGGAGGGCTTTAGAAGTGTCTATCCAAGGCGGTCGGAGTAGACGAGAACTGAAAACGTGGCGGAGGTGGACAGCTCTGGGTTAGGCCTAGTCTAAGTCTTAAGTCGACGGAGTTGATTATTGCGATCCGCTGCCGCAGTGGGCAAGTGGACAAAAGTTCAATAGAAACCTAACGGGCTAGGAACAACGCCCGGGCCCAGTCAAGAGACACGGGAAGACCCACCGCTCAGGGATGGAATGACGGAATTGGAGACACCCATTTTACATGCAGTGAGTGCACTAATTGCAGTGCAATGCAGTTCCCATGAAGCCCATGAATTATATGTATAGGCACACGGAGCATGGATACGATCCTTTCCCAATCCTCATGAAGTCGCGCGTTCAGTGAGCTTTATTTTTGCCTCATTCACCCCGTACCTCTTGGTTGGCCTGAAATAGATCCCTCAAGAATGCTTCCTTTTCGCGAGCTTTGTTCAGCATTCAATAATGCATACGCGATTGACCTGGGAGATCCATTTTTTCCACTCGGTCCCTGCTTCGCCTCAAGCATCAATTTGTTTCACCTCATATCTCCTGCATGATTTCACCGAGTGTGCTTAGAACAAGGCTCTAATGCCACCTTCTTCATCTCTTTGTTGGTAGTTCTCGAAGATATTGTTTCCAGCCCATCTTAGGGTAGACTAAGACTGGTCACCAAGACTGTATCGAGATCCTCCGCATCGACGACAGATTCTGGTCCCTCTCAGTAACAAAAAAACCAACCGCTTGACCCAAAGTCCGGGGTCTCTTTTCGGGTAACCACTGGCCGATGTCTCGAACCAGATACAGAGAAACACGCACGCGCGAACCCAACAAGCTCGGGCAGAGTCATGAGAGCAAGAATAGTTCTTAGCAATGGCATAACATGGGCTAGATTGAAGGGGTGGGCCACCAACAAACGAGTCCTATCTCGAATCTTGAGTCATTAAGCGGACGCGGCGATACCCGATATACTGGTCTTCAAGTGGGCAAAAGCTGGAGCCCAGAGGCTCTATTCAACTCGATACCCTGCAGTAATTACTCCTGCGCAATAAGGGCTGATATGTACACACTCTTCAACGTTGAATGGAGTTGCAAACATCTCTCGCAAATGAGTGACTCTACCGCATATGTCGTAGCCCTGTCATCAGCGGTAAGGTGGTCAGCCGCAAGTGGGTGCTAACTCAATATCTAGAAGGTGTCTCCTTCATATAATTTCAGAATCGAGCATTATGTCAAGCGCGTTGCTGATTGTATTACGAGAAAGATGCAGAGCTGCCGTAGATATACCACTAGTTCCAAGGCCTAGCAATGCGATTTGCTGAGGATTGTGAAGCGAAGACACCATCTTCGATAATCCTTGGATCAATCTTGCATTATATTCTCATGGCCCATGTACTCTCTCAGTAGTCAGATCAACCATGAGGATGCAAACTGCTGATGAAACAGCTTTCAGATGGTTTTCGCCAGCGCAATGGCATACATCGTGGTGCCAAAGTAGGAGCCGAGGTTATGCATGGTCAAGATTTAGAACATGGTGTTCATATGATCGGAGAGTACAAATCGCAACGAGGACATCAATTCCAGCACGTTGCACCACTTAATACACGAAGGTTTTCTTCACCTGTACGGCTGCCCCATAATTATAGTAATGGCAAAAGTAATCCTCATTCACTTCTTCAGCACAGCAGCCGAGCTCACTCTGGACCTTGACGCGCTAAACCCGAAGCGGTTATACCCAGCTCCGCCGCGCAACGCGATCGATTCGGGCAACACGCGCCGCCTTCAAATGCAATTAATGTAAGAACGAAAAGAGCCTACCGTAGCTTTCTTCCACCCATCTTCTTGAGCTCATCGCTTCCTCAAACATTTCTCAACTACGTGTCTTGCATCATGGCGAGCGACGGCGACTGTAATGAAGACCCCCCCTATCCCCTCTCCCTCTGCCACCCACCCTACTGACCACAAAAAACCCGCCTCTACAGGGACTTGCGACGCCAATGACTCTCTCCACCTGTCTTTAGTCCAACCTTCCGAAGATGCGAGACTCAAGACTCTCTCCGACTTCCAACCTCAATTCACATACCCCATCTTCGGCGATGAAGAGCAGATCTTCGGCTACAAGGGCCTGATTATCCGCATGCGATTCGCCGCTCACGACCTCCGCCCGCATATTCACATATCCTACGACGAGAAGTTCAAGCCTGTGGGGGACATCGCCGCCGTCGATCTACTGAAGACTCTGAAGCCATGGATTCCTGAAGGTAAAGTGACATGCCATATCTCCGCCCCCTCCGGCATCTGCCGGGTTCGTGGGCGTCATAGCTCTTTTGTTCTAACTTCACCTGTGTGGTTTCCCAGAGGCTTTCGTTGTACTCCCGGATTATGAGAAGGCTGTCGTGGAGGACAAGGACGCCAAGGATTTTGTACCTCCAGGCAAACTCGTTCACAGCTACGTCACCCGACAGAGAACATATGAGGTCTGGGCAGGGTCTTTAGCCGATGCGGAGGTGCGACGACTGTTGGATCGCGCGCAAGTCTTTGTTTCACTCTTCATCGAAGCTGGAACGCCCATTGTCACGGATGATCCCGAATGGACGCTGGAAAGATGGACGGTCTACTTTGTGTACGTTTTGATGACCATCTTCATAACTGGTCCCCAGCATTCCCTTCTCATGCTAACAACGCTTTCAGCTATGAGAAGGTCAAGCCGCCAGTGCCCACTGCTTCACAGTATTCCATTGTCGGATATGCGACAACATATCGTTGGTGGTATTACAAGAGAGACAAGACACAAAAGCCCGCCGTCCAAGATAGCCCTTTCCCTCCGGCTGAGGTGATCAGACCCGCTCAGCTTCCGTCGCGTTTGCGAATCGCTCAATTTCTCATTCTTCCTCCTCATCAAGGCTCGGGCCACGGTATTCATCTGTACACGACTATCCACAGTGCCTGCATCAGCGACCCCACGATTTCTGAATTGACCGTTGAGGACCCGAATGAAGCCTTTGACGCCCTTCGCGATACCGCCGACTACCACATCCTTCGCCCAGAATTCCAGAAGCACAAGCTGAATATCAATCCAGACCCTTATGGAGTACCGGCGAAGAAGCCCCGCCCTCGGCGCGTGCCCACATCCGTCCTGATTCCGACCAAGCTGCTCTCAGAAATCCGCTCCTCGTTCAAGATCGACTCCACTCAATTCGCTCATATTTCGGAAATGTATCTCTTGGGTCAGATCCCTCTTAAGAAGCGACTAGCTGGCGGAAGCAACATGGCCCGACTTCTGATTAAGAAACACAATGCGGATGACCCCGATGATCGGCGGTACTACTGGTGGCGCATGCTCACCAAACAGCGTCTCTACAAACGCTCTCGGGACATCTTGATCCAACTGGATCTGAGCGACCGCATTGAAAAGCTAGAGGAGACGGTCACCAATGTTGAGGAAGGTTATGAAGCGCTACTTAAAGCATTCAACGCTCGCGAAGAAGAGCTGAAAGCCAGAGAAGAAGAGCTGAAAGCCAGAGAAGAAGAGCTGGGTGACGACGTCTTAGATGAGTCGGGTGAAGGCTCCAGGGTACAGCGCAATAAGCGAAAACTCACGGTGGAAGATGACGATGACGAGGACGAGGACGAGGGGGAGGAGGAGGAGGACTCGCCTGTCAAGCGACTGAAGGCGTAAACAGCGGAGCGTTCGCGCACGACTGGTCCTTGATCGATGAACCCGCGACCTGGTCAATGTACTAATAAGCTTTATGATCTCTCCAGAACCATTTCTGCAATGAACCATGGCCGAGTATATGATCTCTCATTCCATACTACTGTAGGTGCATCATGTGCAGATCATGATCTGTAGCTAGGTGGAGGGGCCGAATCTAGCGTGTCCACTGATTTCACCGTCTTAGAGGACCCAGGCCCATGACTCACTCGACTACTCGTCGCAGTAAACGTGATAGTCGATAATCCGACAGTCGACGTAGCGAGCGTCTCCGAGGACATGCGGCGCTTACCATGCAGGCTTGGTACTTGATCACCATCTGGTCGGACCAGATCCTGCTGCGTTGTACTCTGGATGTTCTCCGCCCCGATCAATTTCCCGACGCATGCAAGTGTCTGTCTTAAGTTCTGCAGTTCATCTTGCATGCCTCCGGGCAGAGAAGCCGCGTCCGAGCCCACCTGCATTCGACCGGGCTCTTCCGGCGGCATGTCTATGACGAAGAGTTCATTCTCGGGTTCCGGAGCTGGCGAATCAGTAGTAGGCTTCCTCTCCCACCAGCGATGCCATCGGAGCCGTCGTGCGGCAGCCTTGTAGGCCCGGCGAGCTTTCCTCTCTTCGCGCTGCGCTGCTCGGTCGACCCGGCGGCGTTGACAGTACATCGTGTTCAGACAGATCCGGTAGACCACGGCGCATACGGCAAGTAGACATGCGAGCACCACGAGCTTCGTGATGGACACCTGGTGCCTGTACTCGGAGATCTTCCTGAGCAAGCCGCAGCTCCGGTCGGAGTCTTCGGCCAGACATAGCGACCGAGTCATTTTGGTCGCGGCTGCGTTGTCTACTACATAGGACATTTAGAATCCTGTCATGAGTGGTTGCTCGTACGGTGCGAAACTACTGACTGAGACGCGTTGGGAAGGAGTGGTCGATGCTTTTGGGAGCAATAGGAGCGCCCTCAACTGTATAGTCGGTGGTGAGGGCGACTATCATGAATGCTGACCATCGGGATACGGAGCCCAGAGTGGAGATGCGACGCCTGTCACTCATGACGTATGTAATCGAGTCCGGGAAAACACTTTGATTATATCTGCGAGATAGAAGGTTGAGTGAAGATTAACAAGCTATCCCACTGGTAATTGTAGGGAGCATAGGCATTGCAGTTGAGGAGAAAAGCGCATCCTTCAAATTGATTGTATTTTGGGGGGGACAACAGACTAAATACGGCCGGACACAGACAATGGAACTAAGCCAGGGTCACTGGACTCTTAAGGAGATATGAGGGCTGGCCGGCCAATCGCGGGGCTATGTTTTTCCGGAATGGCCCGGTGCTGCGATCACCGCCACAGCATGGAAGCTCATGCGGAGCCTCTTTGTGCCCGCGCCCATTACCACATCTTAACCCTGATTCTTGCTTCACTATTCACATTGCGATCTTTGATTCCCACCCTTTCCACACTCAAATCTAGTCTGCCGGTCTCAAAGATTTCCAGACCATTGATTGAGCGCTTGCGCAAACGTGTACCACTCCACTTATCAAGTCAATATCCTACCTTGTTCAACAGTCTCCAGAGATGGTAAACCACTCCTGTCGCAATTGATCCTTTCTGTACCTTAGAATCCCGCTGACTCCGTGAATAGTTGCCGCTAGGTCTCCTGACGGCCGCGCAGGGCCACCCCATGCTCGTCGAACTCAAGAACGGCGAGACGCTCAATGGACATCTCGCCAACTGCGACAACTGGATGAACCTCATACTCAAGGAAGTTGTCCAGACGAGTCCCGAGGGAGACAAGTTCTTCCGCCTACCGGAAGTCTACGTCAGAGGAAATAACGTGAGTGCACCCACGGAAGGAGCCAAGCAGTGGCTTGATTCCCCGAGTCTTCAACATCTGACCGCTTCCCCCCTCTTTCTCATAGATTAAATACCTACGCATCCCCGAAGAGATTGTGGAAATGGTGAAGGAACAACAGCAGAACCAGCCGCAGAACCGAAACCGTGGTCCGCGCGAAGGTGGTCGGGGCGACAGAGGCCGTGGTGGTGGTCGGGGTCGTGGCCGCGGTCGGGGTCGGGGCGGCAACTAGAGATCTGATCCTAATTCCTTTTGTTTTTTTCACGAAAAGAATGAGAAGAGAGACATGAAAGATACCCCGAGGATTGAAAGTTGTTGTTAAAGCAGGTAGCTATCGCTAGGAGAAGTCCGTTTGGCGGTGGACAGTCGAGCATGGCCTTGGCGTATCTGGTTGTATTTGTCAAATGGGAATTGCGCCGTCTGGGCGCTTCTGCTTCTTATTCAATTCTTTTCCTGGTTCTGAGATTTAAATTGTCTCAAATTATACAGACCGAGTAGCAAAAAGTGAAGGCTTTACTTCGTCCTGGTCTATCGCCATCACTTATCATTATCCCCCATAATAATGCCCGATTGGCATTGGAATCACGTGCACTCCCGTAATTTGTTTCTCGATCTCGAGACGTCGACTGCGAACGCCTCTCCAAGCGCTCGCAATGCCGCGAACGAGTTTTGTTCTGGATGGACTGTGGTTTTGCCTGTGTCCATCGTTCAATTTCACTACCCTTCTGAGGGCCAGAACTGCTCTACAAGGAGCCCGGCGCTTTTCTAGCCGAAATAATTCATCATTCGGTCCCCAAACGAATACACCAATTGGACAATACCTCAACAAACAACATTCCGACTCGAATGTCCTGAAAAAACAATTAGTCGATGGGGAAACACCTCGCTCGATCCCCGACCAAGCAATCTCTCAACAGCATGGGGACGGTCACGACCAACAAGGAAGCGCAAGAAGCTCAATAGACCTATCAACGACATATGCCGCCGATGACGCCCCAGAAACTCTCGCGGGGATAAAGACCCAGAGCTTGGAAACCAGGCTGCAGGAGCTCACAGCCCAAAACCCCCGGATTCAGAGTGCCACGCAGATACTGCGCATTCTCGTCCGCGACCGCCAGATACCCCCGCAGACGCGACACTACAGAGCTCTCGTCCTCGCCCATTCTGATGCGATGCGCGGGTCAACAGAAACGGTCCGCAGTTTACTCGCGGAGATGGAGGATAATGGGATACCGGCGGACTCGGGTACGCTGCACGCTGCTCTCCAGGTATGTAACGGCAAAATTCCCCGCAAGTCCAAGCAGGCCCCGTCTTGAATTCTGCGCTGACAGTCTTTGGTTTTGCGCTTAGGTCTCTGCCGTCCACCCCGACTACATGCTGCGCCAAGACATAATACGCACACTTCGAGAGCGATGGCTCCCGCTGAGTCCGATGGGGTGGCACTACGTGGTGGCTGGGCTGCTTCGAGAACACCAATTCGAATTGGCTCTGGACCATATCGATCAGATGAAGCGGAAGGGGGTGGCAATCGAGAGCTGGCTGTTCAACATGCTCGTCTACTATCTCTGTGAATATCAAGAGTTCGACGAGGTGCTCCGGTTGATGCGCTCTTGGACGGATCAACACCTCGACATGACACCCGAGCTGTGCCTGTATGTCTTGGATGTGGCCAGCGAGGCTTCTCACTACGAGACTACCCGGTTTATCTGGAGGGGCATGGTGGAGCTGCAGTACCTGCAACCTCCACACGAGATTTGCAGCAAGGTCTTGGCGGCTGCGGCGCGCACCGGAGACGTCGCCCTCGGGACATCTGTGATCCGCTTCCTTGTCGAGTTGGACATCCCCGTCACTCTTCCGGACTATGAAAGTATGGTGGAAGCCTATGTGGTGTCTGGGGACCTCTATGCCGGATTCGAGGTTCTCTGCAAGATGCACAAAGCCGGCATCGCGCTGGAACGAAGCTCCACGCGGGCCGTGCTCGATTACATGATCCGGAAAGACACGGTCCCCCATGACGCGTGGGCCATGCTCAAGAAACTCAAAGCTGCGAAGTTCGAGGTGCCCCTCGGCTGCGCCGCGGCGATCTTGGAGTTGTGCGAGCATGAGGCCCTTCACGATCCGTTCGCAGTCGAAGACGGCGTCGCGCTGTACAATGAACTGTACGATCTCTGCTCGGAGAAGGCCGACGTTACCGTCTTCAACATGCTCATCAGCATGTGCCGCCGTGCAAGGGACAGTGACGCCGGCATGTTCGTGGTGCACGAGATGGCAGCGCTGGGCGTCGTCCCCGATGGGACCACCTTCGAGCACCTAACGATGATGTGTCTGGACGCGGACAATTTCGAGTCCGGGTATATGTACTTCCAGGACCTGCTGAACCGGGGATTCGATCCGAGCGCGGAGACCCGCGCCGCCATTCGGGAAGTCTGCTCTCACTCCCGGGATCCGTACGCGGTCCAGTTGAGGCGCCACCCCCGGATCCAGGATGGCTCTGTCCAGTGCCTGGTGGATGAGCTGAATGCTGCCCATGAGTATGGTGGTGGTGAGCGACAGCTGAGCCAAGAGCCCGCCGACGACGTGCCCTGGCGGGACTCCCCCAGATATCCCACCCTGACGTGGCGACCCTCCTTTATCCGAGCGACCTGGTCGAAGAAGTCGAAGGAACTGTGGAAAAATGCGCGGCGGCAAGCGTCGAAGGAGGCGCGCAAGAGGAAGAGGAGGCAGCTGGCCATCCAGCGCGCACAGGAGGAGGAAGGCTGGATGGACTACGAGCCGGGCGGTCTTATTCCCGAGGACCAGCTGATAAGCAGCAAAGGAGAGGATCCAAAGTTGGATTGATTCTGGTCAACTGTAACCCGACACAAGAGATGATCTTGACAATCACACCATGTACAGTACATCTAAATATACATGCTATAAATGCATGGAAATGGAGCAGAGAGGGAGGGGGGCTAAATCCTTGGCCCCATTGGACTATAACATCGGTCATTTCCGATTTCCGACGAATTGAACCACCATGAAGCCTGTTGGGTAATGACCGCCACAACTTAGTCTTCCAAATGACAGCCAAAAGAGGCTTGCTGGGGTAGTTCACGCGAGTAAATAAGTACCGGCAAGATTGCGTACGTTAGGCGGGAAATAAACTTATGACTCCCGAGTTCAGTCCTGTGGTCGTGGTCTGCACCGCGCTGGCGGTGTTCGCGTCTAGGATAATCGCGTTTTTGCCCTAAGAAGCCACGGGTATATTATACCTACACTAAGCAACTTGCTGCCGCTTGTACTATGGTGCGTGAATTACAGCAAGATATTCATCTAACCCTTGATGAAAGAGGGAAGTAAGAGCACAATCGAACTCATGGATGGTCGGGCTTGGAGGCTTTGGTTTACTACTTGGTCACTGAGAGAGACGGGAATAACAGTACATTGGTCTATTATTCACCCCCTTTTTGTGTCATAGTGATAGAAGAAGTTCATCATTCCTTATGTCATCCCAAGCATCCCCCAAGCATCTCTGGGCTTTATTCAACAGGTGTTGAGACAACTTGTTGAAATAGGCTTTTTTTTTTACTAAGAGTTGGAGAATATCAATCATCACCGTCTCCATTTGTGTTGGTATCGGATCTGCTATTGTTATTCGAAGCATTTCTATTGCTGTCGGTATTATCATTGGTGTTTTTTGTGTCTGTATTGGTAGTATCGGTTTGGTAGGTTGGTAGCATCGCTTTGCTTGGCGGCACTATTAGGATTATTGGTGTCGTTATCGGTTTCACTATTTTGATTAGAGTCATCAACCGAGGCCTTACTTTTCGATAGCTACATCTGCGGTATTGGCTTGATTGATTGGATGCTTCTGAATATTCAGAATATCTGCCGGTATGATAGATTCGGTGGCTTTGCCAGCCAGCATCTTGCTGCAGACGCAGTTTTTTTTTTTCCCCTGCGATAGGCAGATAATCGGCCATTTGAAAAACTCAGAATTGAGTATGTCGATGAGTCGAAGTGAAAGATGACTTGTTTCTAACTATACTTGTATAAACTCGGAAGGGTCGGGGTCTTTATTTATGGAAGACAGCAATCGGCCACACTGGTACCCGCATACATTCAGTATTGTAGTCGAGCTCGATCCGGTCTTTATCCTCGGGATCGGAGTCATACTCTGGGCCAAAGTCCAACCCTTCGAGCATCAGTCCATTGTTGTTTGTAGGGTTGGAATATGCACATCGATGTCATTGCTGAACCCTAGAAAAGAGTCCGTAGTCTACCAATTCTTAGCCGGGTAGGAAGTTCATTTGGTGCCTTTACACCCTTCCTGTTTGTGTTTTCTAGCTCACGTCGGTCACCGGATCAGACACGGGAACTTGGGGGTTCTCAATGAGAGATCCTGGCAGACTCAGCAATGCAGCAAAGGTTATGATTTGCCATTACTCGTGCCTCTTAGGCATTTGCGGCCTTCCGAAGAGCAATAGCTCAACGTTCATTAGCAGCGCAGAGACTTCAAGCCAGGAGATAATACTAGCAGTGATCATAAGACTTTGTGCTGTGGCAAGGCAGGATTTACTGGTAGAAGGTGGGAAGGCTTGTTGTGAGTATGGAGAGTAGGAGGTGTTGCTGTTATTTCAGGATGCCTCGGCTCGTGTGATGGTTCGCCCGCTGCTTGCGCTGGCAATACGGCATTGTAGTAGATTTTGAGGAGGTGGGGCTTGAATAGATCGGCACGCAACCATTGCTTCAACTCGTCTGCACCTTATACGGTCTGTTAAGTATCTGCAATTTGTGTCCAGTTTTGCAGCTTCGGAGTTGAAGCCTGGATGATGCTTGCTGGTCCAATGTCTGCAGTAGTCCGTTTGGGCTTGCTGAGTTGCGCATGATGATTGCGCGCCACATAGAAGGCTTGCTATTCGTGCTCTAATCTTATTGCCATTCGGTTGCCGATGTTGATATTGTGAGCCCTTGTCTGCATGCCATTCTCTCTGCGTCTACCGGAGTTTTATGATTTGCTGGCTGGCAACCATCCCGAAATCAAATCACATTTTCACGGACTATGGCTCTATACTGCAAATATAAGGAGTAGAGAGCAGAGGAGGGAGGAGTCTTCGGTCTTGTACCTTCAATGGCTTCGCAATGACACGGATTCGGCTGTTAAGCCCACAGGCCCCTCGTCACAACGGTCCTCCGTGCGACTTCCGGGCCAAAGTGGTAATGCTGATGTCCTAGACGAGATCCGGTCCGAGTGTGAGCACCAACTGAAAACGAGAACACGAGGACGACGATTCGAATGAGAAAATCAATTCGATTGATGATGATGATGATGATGATGATGATGATGATGATGATGATAAAACAAACTAGATACACTCCGATGGGATGCTCTCAAGAGAGCCGTCGCATCTCCACGAAGTGTCATTGTTCTTTGTGTGGCCTTGTGTGGCACTATGTCAGAAGTTATCCCAACAGGGGTCATCATCAGCAGCGGCATGAGAGGCTTCATTTTGAGAATAGGGCGAGGATTAGAGCCGCAAAAGGAGGCTTTTCGTTGCCTTTGCCCACAAAGAATCGGAACTGCCGATGAGTAAAGCAGAACGCCCTGGAAAGCTTAAGGATACTGCTGTTCCGGTCGTGACCGAGGTTAGTCCAACGGAGGAGATTGTGCAAGAAGAGGATCGTTCTTTGCGCCATTCAAAAATGTTAATCAAGCACAAGTCATCTATGAAATGGTTCAAAGTAAAGGTTCTTGTTAGTCCAGCTACTCGAAGAGAGTATAGACCTGTAAGGGAGATAGAGGATAGTGTGGTCCTTATGTCAGAGGTAAGAGAGTTGTAGAGAAGAGAGGTGAGAAGAGATGGTCTGGGGCCATTCTGAGTTGTGTAACTACCCCAGGACGTTAGATTCAAGGAGACCCTCTATGAAAAAGTGGTTCACTATTCTAGATGAGCGAAAACTCACATCACCTCGAAGCGCACAGTTGTGTCATTCATGTAAGTAAAGGATTCAATCTTGAGAGATCTATGGGTTATCACATTCCAGTATCAGCAAGCCATTCCAAAGAGTGAAGTTTGATTTAGAGAACGACCATATACTGTAGTACAAGGTATCTATTCACTCGATACGCAGGATGAGATAATTAGCTGATAATGAATCGGAGATGTGAATGGCAGCAAGCAAGCAGCTATTCGAAACGAGCCAATCTATACTAGACCCCAACTCCTATTGATCCAGTTGTCTAAACATAAAAATAAGCCTGGTACTCCGGATATGGAGTAGCTAAGAGATGTTCCAAGAGGATTAGGAACAGGTTTAGGAGCGAAAGAACAGGAAGATTGGGGAAGTTCCCCGAGGCCGAAGGATTAAGCTTGCATGTGAGACGGCGGGCGTCGCATGGTCAAACCTCCGGTGATTGCGCCCGGAGTTCCCGCTGGGACCACCCGTTTGATGGTTTGATGTCTTTGCCGTCTCTCCGTACTCCGTACTTACAGGGTGAATAGTTAAACAATCATAACAAGTTATCATTGTGGTAGGTTGGTCTAAAATGCTATAGTTCTGGGTGCCTCTTGGCTAACTACAATAGGGCTCAGTGGTTTGTATCATGTAACTTACAATGCAGTATATAACTATGTTTACAGTACCTGATTCACAAGGGTTTACATCCACACTGGGATGAAAACATGGTCGAATCTTCCTTCAGCTTGTTAAGCACAAACTTTCTCTCACCGTCAGTTGTGTAACCATGGTCTGTCACACACCAAACGCCTCATAGAACAAGCCGTTCCTCCCTGTTCTTCGATGCAGGTGGGCAACCAAAGGGATCTTCGCTCAAATTCCGCGCGATCAGCCACCGTCGGGCCAATGAGTTGTCCCTGTTGCCAGTGGTTCGTTTCACCTACTCTCGCTTCGCTCCACTGTTGGGGTCGAAATGCTCTCCCGCTGCATCAGTATTGCTTTTGCAGCTTCTAAGAAAAGAAAAGCATCGGCTCCAGACGGAGGCGAGGGTCCCTCCATCAGTCTCCGTTCCTCCTCCCTGCTGGTGCCAATGCTGCCGTCGCTGCAGCAGAACCGGGGTTATATCAAGTCGCCGTTGCTGCTCGCTACATTCTTCTTTCTCCTCCCCTTTCTTCATCACGATTTCATCCATCTTCTCTCTTCCTCCTCTGCCTATCTTCATACTTGCTCAGCACTTACTGGTAATACTTAATTTCTATCGAAGTTGGTGCTTGTCTCTTGCTTGTCAAACATATCAACCCACCCCACCTGCATACATACATACCTCGTTGTCGCAAGGCGCAAGGACTCCATTATAACCGACCTGATCAAACCTAATTCATCCGATCTATTTTCTACTCCCACCACCATGCAGCTCACCACCACCTTGTTCGGTCTTGCTCTCTCCACCCTGAGCCTCACCTCTGCCTCGCCTATCTCCTATCCCAGTCGCCGTGACAGCGCAGCGTTGACCTGGCACGTTTCCAACTTCACCACCGGCTGCTCACCGGGAGGCTGCATCTACAACTTCAACATTCTCGGTGTGGCAACCAAGAACACGCCTGGCTTCAATACTACCTGCTCTGGTACGACCACGGATAGCAGCTCCGACGACCTCGTCTCCTGCCAGAACCCTTTGATCAAGTCCCGCGTCAAAGCCGAGCCGTATCCGCTGTGGAATGTCCGGGCTGAACATGAATGGATCCTCCCTGGCGATGCCGAGTTCTTTGCTTTCGGAGAGACTAATGTCACCTCCTCGACACCGCGGTTTACAATCCCCGTTACCGAGGAGTATGGAGTCGCCTAAAGAAGTAGGGGATGAGCCAATCTCCCCGCCCTGTCTGGTGTTTGCTGAAGATGATATTACCCTCCGGAGGGTAATTCGACGGAGGTGTGGGAGACGAACTGCTTTTGTATCATATGATTATCATGTCTGTTTTTTTTTTTTGGGTATTGTTGATATGGGATAGGGGTTGTTTACCTAATAATGTCTGGTTACATGATGGGCAAAAAGTGGCTAATGCAGGATACAATGTTATGACCAACCGAATGAAAAAGCATTCAAATTACTTCATACTCAGTAATTCCCATGTTTATGTATATTGTCTCGACTCGGGTGGGCAATTGACTGGTTGCATTGACCGAATGCCAGTTGATGAGGGGCGAATTACGGAGAGGTGAGGAGGGAGGGAAGTCTTGCGGTGACATCATCGCCGTCAACATCTGCAATGGCCCGTTGCTCTCCTTCCTTCCTCATCTCCTCCTCCACACCGAAAATTGCACAGCCTCTGTTCATCCCGCTGTGGCGATCATTATTGTTTCGACTAGGTGGATGGAAGCCGTCATCATTTGCGAATATCTCCATCTCTCCTGGGTTCCCAGAAATTGGAGATCATCACCGGGTTGAAGCCCGTGCGTGCTTTACCTCACGCATCATTAATTATCTGCGCTGCCAATGACCAGGCCAGAGACGCGCATGTCCTCTTTTATATCACCAGAGATAGATCTCTGAGCCAGACCCTTCATCTGCAGCACGTAAAACCTCCCCTTAGATTCTCATGGTACGTCTCAGTTCGGATTGAGCTTCCTTCTCCCTCCCCCACCTTTGGCATGCCAACACGGGACCTGACATGACATAATTTCCCGGCGCAGGCGTCGATCCTACGACAGATTGTCGCTGGTCCTAGACAGCAGCATCCCGAAGCAGGCTTGGATCTCTGCTACGTGACGGACAACTGTATGCTATACCTGGACTCCCCTGAAATTTCATCGCCGCACTAATGGCCAACTCCTTCTCTCCGCACCGCAGTGATCGCAACATCCGGTCCATCTTCCAACTACCCGCAACGCGCATACAGAAACCCCCTTGACGAATTGGTCAAGTACCTCGACTCCAAGCACGGCAGCGACTGGTGCATCTGGGAATTCCGTGCGGAGGGCACAGGATACCCCGATTCTGAAGTATATGGCCGGATCCATCATTACCCGTGGCCGGACCACCACCCGCCCCCGTTTGCTCTCCTCCCCGCCATCACGGGGAGCATGCGCAACTACATCCACCGACTGGATGATCCCGAGTCCGCAAACAAACTAAAAAGTGACAAGCCCGACAGGGTTGCCGTCGTTCACTGCAAGGCGGGCAAGGGCCGCAGTGGGACCGTCGCCTGCAGCTACCTGATCAGCCAGGAGGGATGGAAGACAGAGGACGCACTGCAGCGGTTCACGGAGCGCCGCATGAGGGTCGGGTTCGGTGCCGGTGTCAGCATACCGAGCCAGCTGCGCTGGGTGGGATACGTGGATCGGTGGTCGAATCAGCTGGAAAAGAAGTACATTGAACGACCGGTTGAAATCCTCGAGGTACATGCCTGGGGCCTCCGAGATGGGGTCAAGGTCGCCGTGGAGGGTTATATCGACCAGGGGAAGAGGATCAAGCGGTTTCACCGATTCCATAAAACCGAGCGCACGGTCGTAGACGACGTGAATGTGACCCTTTCCGAAAGTAAGAATGAAAACGCACACCCACTGCAGCAGAAGGGGAGCAACAGCAACAACAGCAGCGGCGGTAGCCCCGAAGAGTCATCAAGATCATCCCCGACAGGCACTTCTACCCCCGAAAATCCGGCCTTCTCGGTCACGGCCCATTCCGCGACTCCGACAACAACAACATCTTCATCAGCAGGTTCAACGTCAGCCAAGCCGCAGAATAACCCAATCAAGCACATCTCCAACGCCATCTTCCGGCCTCGGCAACCCATCATCATCCCCACATCGGACGTCAACATTGACTTCGAACGCCGCAGCAAGGCCGCCTACACGGGCTGGGCGATGGTCACCTCGATCGCCCACGTCTGGTTCAACGCCTACTTCGAAGGTGGTCACGAGCACGACTCCGGGGTATTTTCAAGCGAGTGGGACGCATTGGACGGCATCAAGGGTACCACCCGCAAAGGCGTTAAGGCCCTCGACCGCGTCAAAGTCGTCTGGCGCTACGCCTCCTCCCAGCAACACGGTAGTGGTGAGAGGAGTAGCATCGACCATATGACCAATAACGGAGCCACAACCGTAGACGAAGGTCAACCCATCACCGAGCCCAAACCTGGGGAGCCAGCCCCCGAAATTCAGCCCCCGGACTGGCATATCCATGCAACCGACTCCGACCAACAGGAGAATCTAGACCCCGCGGAAGGTGGTGGTAGTGCTCCGAGGAACCTGACTTCTTCTTCCTCCTCCAAAAAGGACCACGGCCACCATAAACACAAGCACGGACATAAATCTTCGACAGCGTCGGACCATTCAATCGCCGCAGAGCTGACGGCCACAGCTGCAGCGTCGATCCAGGACTGGAGCAAACATCTCGGGTTACGCAAGCAGACGGACGAGAGTAAGGATGTCAGTCTGGCGGGGAGCGAGGATGAGGTGAGAGAGTCCGGGGAAGGAGAGTTGAAGACGACGACGAAGACGTGAATATAAATGTAGACTTCTTCATCTTCCTCTTTCCTATGATTTGGAAGTTAACACGACTCGCATGTATTGGGAACCGGCTCTTGGTCGCTATCGTTTCCTAGCGTTGTATTTTGCTTTTCTGTGTTTTCTTTGGGGAAATTAGAAGTAAGTATACGGATAAAAAGGTGCTTTACCCTTCCTATACCCCGTGTTTGGTTTTTCAAAACTTTCTGTTCATTCTATTTCTAGTACATACACACTGCGTGTTCTATAATTCGGTTCGTATATTGAAAGCCTGGTGAAATCAACCGCCCCGCCCCCGGCGTCTGGCTTGTATACATACACAGCAAGAACAAAGACACGGATATGGAAGAAAGATATTTAAGCTAGATTACAATGCAGCTTATGTAATGTACACTTGCAGATCCAACAGGAATTTTGCCTGGCATAGGGAATCAAGAAATAGATCACGAGGCAAATGAGATATCAAGAACAAGTGTGCGTGGTACTTAGCAGTATATGCAACTCTTACCCTGATGTACCGTGACAATAAACAATTCCCTATCCCTGAGTGATGCGCAAACTACAAGCTTGAACACCTGTTGTGAAAGGGGGGGGTCTTCTCCTGATCATTTATGCTGACGACATCATACACCAAGGAAAGTGATTTGGTTTTGATGATCTGGGGGAAAAGAAATCTCTAGATGGGAACAAACCCGGCCAGCCGCTGACGATGCTCCTGCTCCTCGCGCCGTAACCGGTCGGACTTCTTGCGCTCGTACACCGCCCGGACCACGCGCTTGACCTGGTCTTCGCCCTGGGCGAAGTTGGCCTTGGCCAGGCCGACGACGGAGTCGATCTGCTCGGGCGTGTAGACGAAGTTCCAGGTGGAGAGGAAGTCGTCGACGTCCGGGTTGATGGAGCCCGGGTACGGGGTGAGGGGTTTGGCGGGGTCGGAGACATTTTTCGAGGTCGTGCTTTCCGAGTGGCGGGTCGGGGTGCGGGATGGGTTCAACGCGGAGGAAGACGGGAGGTTCGGGGCGGATGGGTTGGGGAGGAGGGGGAAGTAGACGACGGCGATGCCTGCATCGGGTCGCATGAGGTGGAAGTCGGAATCGGAGTGGTCGTTTTCGTTGTTGTTGTTGTTGTCGTCGCCCGTGTGGCGGCGGGGCTGGAAGAGCCGTTTCGACGGCGGGGGCTCGCGATCGGAGACCATCTCTTGTTTCGTGCCGACCCAGACGTTGCAGTAGTCCAGGTCGGTGCTTTGGCTGGGGGTTGGGTTGGTGGCGGTGGGATCTTCGCCCTGTGTGATCCCCCGTTGGGTGTTATCCCACGGGGATGTTGAAGAAGAAGAAGAAGAAGAAGAAGAAGAAGAAAAAGAAGAAGAAGAAGAGGGCGCAGAAGTCTTGTCTTTCGCGGCGTTCATCCTCTTGTTGATCTCATCCTCGGATATGTTTTGCGGCTCGCGGAGAGTCTCCTCGGTGATCTTGGGTTCTTCGCTTTCGCGCGGCCAGCCGGCCCCGATTGGCCAGCCCTTGATACCTCGTTGGCGAGCGTAGCCGTCCACGACTGAGAGCCAGTTCTCGCGCTTGATGTCGGCTGAGGCGTCGAAAGCAATGATCACGTCCACATCCCGACCAGGTCGGAGCAACGGGTAGATGGGGAGGTTGTTGCTCATGCCCGCATCCATGAGACGGAGATGCTTGCTCTGAAAGATTGAGTCCGGACATGAAGCGGGCAAGAGGTCCTTCATTCCTAAGACGTAGTTCGGAATCGCGGCTGGATCGATAGGGTGGACCCGGATCAAGTCCTTCGTCTTGCCCTGAATCAACGAATCGATGCCGCCGAATCCAGTAATGCCCCTCACCACGGGTCGGATCTCTTTGTAATAGTGAGATAGAGTGGCACAGAAAGCGCTACCCCAGATACCCATGAGACCCGGCACGCGGAGTTCGGGGATGGGGGATATCTGTTCACGCTTGATATTGGCTCCACCGTAGAAGTGTCTTCCCAATGCCCAGGTCGGTATGCCAGCACCGAGTTCCTCGCAGAAAAACTCGTACGGCGTGAACTCGAACCATTGGAACCAAGCTTCGATTTTCGATTCTTTGATGACATCCTCAGGCTTGGGCTGTTTGCCGTTTTCATTCGTGATCTCGACCGTGGGGATCTCATGGCGGACGGCAGTGTAGATAGGAAGTGGGTGCGCTCCATTGGTGAGATTGTACCTTTGATTGGAGAGCTTGAGATCTCGATCACAAACGCCCAGTTCGCCCTTGGGTACTAACAATCTTGCAGCCAATAGCATGCCGTATATGTCGACCAGACCGAAGTCGGCGCCGGGATCGCCCTTGAGCTTCTCGACCAATCCGCTCAGCAGATATTTGTTGGTGGGTGCGGTGGTGAGCAGCTTAAGTGCTGCCGGAGGAAACGCTAAGTGGATTCCCAGCCTATTTTTCAGGTGATCGACCTGCTTGTTGAAATTACGCCCTGTGATAGACGAATGGTACAATGTTTGTAGCCAGCAGCTTCCGCTCACTCCTGCGGTGTAGGTCACGCAGTCCCAGAGCCCGGCTTCTTGGGCCGCGAGGTACGAGCCTGTGCCGGCGACAAGCGCACGTAGACCTCCTCCCGAGCCACACATAGCTATGGTAGGGACATCGTCGGGATGAATGTCCTCTTCGTTGATGTTGAGATAGGACGCAAGGGCTGTTACGGCGTACTTTCGTCGCCTTTCTCTGTACACCAGTTCTTCATCACACAGAGTATCTCCGACGCGGACTCTTGCCTTTCGTAGAATTTCAGGGTTGATATCCGGATCATGAGCTTCCTTCCAGATCTCGTCGGCTAGGGAGCCAGGGGCCATTGACAGCTCCCGCTGGAGCTTCTGCATCGATGCAGGTAGCAAGCGGGTCCAATCAGGGATAATGTAATTTTTGAGGTTCTCTAGCTCAATCCAGTCCGGAGTGCCCACTGATAGCTTGACGCCCTCAAACTTCCCCAAAATGTTGGTCCAAATCGACCCCGCATCGTCATGATGCGCGTCTTGTCTCGAGCCATGCCCTGGCAAGTAGTCGCTGAGGGACGAGGTCTTTTTCGAATCTTTGTCCGCGAAGACGGAAGAAGTGGTAGAAAAGAGGGCTCTCGGCTCGGTCTGCAGCAGTAATTGCTTACTTGGGAGGTATCGACCACCGGCGACGTAGAGCACCCCGCCGCCCAGGGCAATTAGAAAGGTAGGAGGAATTGTCCAATGCAAGCGCGATGCTTTCGCAGCACCCATGGTGAGATGGGTACTCCGTAGGATAAGAGGAGCAGTGGCGGGCAGCATGCAATGGTGAAGTCCATAGCGGGGGAGGGGGGAAAGATCCAGACCACGACGATCAGGTACTACTTAAACAATTCCGTTCTTCATTCCGACGGATTCGAGCTGGTCGAGGAAATGTAGCCCATTACCATTACATCATATCATGTGATGCATCAGTGTTGGGCTCAGCCAAACTTCGGTACGCAGGACGGGCCGAAATTACTATATCGAGGCAAGCGCGCATTGCGGAGTCACGCAGCAAAGCAAAGCAAAGCAAGCAAATGCGCCCAGTGTCCGTCCGGGGCAGACAAGAAGGGGAACTCTCACTCAACGCTTGGAGGTATATTAAACCAACTGTCATGCTTGTTTCATGAGGCCAGGTGCCTCGTTGCTCAGCTCTTAATTCTGACGTGTCGCCTCCCCATCTAATTTCTTCCCTTCAATTACTCGTATCTTGTTATCCCTTATCGCATTGAATGAGCGAGGAATGACGTCTCTCCGTTCTTGCATAGTCGATTTCATTTACGAATCCTTGATTGTCTGATGTTCACGGTGGGACCGGCCGATCGAGTCCTCCTTCGCCATGGTCGCCCCAAGGAACGCCGCATACGCTGAGGAGAGTGCAGAGGTTGAGGTTCTCTACGCCAATCTTGAGAAGCTCAAGCTCCTCACCAAGAAAATCCAGGGCTCCTTGGTGCGTCTTGAAACCGGTGGGAACGTGGTCAAGCATGCCATCGGTCCTATCTACAGTAATACCCAGTCCCTCCAGATCACCAACAGCAACATTGAAAAGGTCAATGAAGCTATTGAGCGCCTGCGCCAACCCCTCAATGCCAAAGGTCAAGAAGAAGGCATTATCCGTTCTGAGTATGCACCCTCCGTTAACACCACTGCCACCGGCTTTCTTCAATCTTGCTGACCCCGTAAAGCCCTCAGAGTGTCGGAGTGTCGCAATATCTTTCGGCTGTGAGACGTGTAGAAAAGGCGCTCGCGGACTTGAACTCGACCAATCTGCGATCCAACCAGAAAGCAATCACGGACTTCAACTCTTTACTGAGCCTCGGCAATTCGCAACTTCAAGACTTGCTCCGCAGCCGGCTGAGCGAAAATGTCGGTGCCATCGAGCCATTACACTACTTAACCAAAGGTATGCAGCCATTTGACATCCCCGATTGATGAAAGAAGGCTGACTTTCATGACGTTCAGAGCTTCCGTTCCCCTCACTCCCCGACGACGTCCTCACCGAATTAGGACCCGTGTGCGCCACCATTGCCTCTGCAGCAAGCTATGGGCCTCAACGAGACGGCGGGAATCCCGCGCTCAAGATATATTCCGATTTACGTGGACCGTATATAACGGCGAGTTTGCAGAACCTTGCTATAGCGTCATTGAATACCGTCAAGAGAAGAGCTGCGGACGGCCCTTACCGACAAGGCACAAATGGCATCGGCATCTACTCCAATGCCTTGGAGAGCTTCATCTACACGGAACATGATATGATTGTGAGGATATTCACTGGGGGAGAGCGTGGTCTGGCCCTGCAAGCGACGTGTCGCTCGGCCTTGACTGAGTACTCGCAGACACTTCGTGAGCTCAATCACTACATCCGAGCCAACCTAATGACGGACTGTTTTCTGGCTTTCGAGATTATCGAAATCGTTACTGCGATGTCTTATCGCGTCGATTCAAAGACAGGAGAACTTAAGAGCTTGTTTATCGAGGCGCTGAGGCCTGTCCGTGAAACAGCCAAATCATCCCTCTCGGAGCTCCTCGAAGAAACGAAGCGCAAGGCCGCAGGTATATCTATGCTGCCTCCGGATGGCGGATCAGTGCCTCTTGTGGGCGAGGTGATGAGCTCTCTGGCCACATTAACTGGATACTCCGGACCCCTGGCATCGATCCTGACCTCTTTGGGTGACGGAAACTGGCATTCGACCGCCAACGCAGCCACTACACCCTTGGATGTCAGCCCCGACAGTTCGACCCTGTTGTCGCATTTCATTCTTGATATGATCGAAGCCCTAATGATCGCGCTTGAGGCACGAGGTCGAGCACTTCACCGCTCCAAGGCAGTACAGGGAGTGTTTCTGTCAAACGTCTTTTGCACCGTGGACCGCTCTATCAGGTCGAGCCCAGAGCTAGCCAAATATCTTGGCTCTGGAGACAGCATTGCACGGATCGACTCCTTCCGGAAACGGGCGACATCGACATATCTTGATGCTTGGAAGGAGACATCTCACTACCTTCTCGATGTGCAGTACACCTCCCGTGGTTCCGGTCGGCCAACGTCCGGAGGCGTGGTTGATTCCAGCGCCATTGTCAAATCGCTGTCGTCGAAAGATAAAGACGCAATCAAAGACAAATTTAAGGCATTCAACGCCAGTTTCGAAGATCTGGTGACTCGCCATAAGGCTCTTTACATGGAACGCGAGGTGCGCGGGGTTCTCGCTCGGGAAGTGCAGGCAGTCCTGGAGCCTCTCTACGCGCGGTTTTGGGATCGTTACCATGAAATCGACAAGGGCAGAGGCAAATATGTAAAATTCGACAAAGCAAGTCTCTCTGCGCAGTTGGCAGCGCTGGGATGAATGCGGGCCAAACCCGCAACGAGCACTGTGGGGTCCGCCGTACCGAATGCAGGAGGTTGGTCGTGTTGATCATTTACCTTCTAATGGTTGGGTGGGAATAAACGAGGGCCAATTGGCGGATATAGGTTTCTTCTCGTCATGTTTTATTCTAACTAGATTATTTTTATAGTATATTATTCTTGGTAACCACCATTGACTACTACTGTATAATTGACTACTACTGTATAGCTGGATAATGGTTAGGCAGTAATACTTCATTCAGTTCACCAGTGCAGTGGACGCATTAGGAAAGATCGAAAAGTCGAAAAGTCGAAAAGGGGTCGTGCTTTTTCCCCCACGTCGGGACCGTCTGTCATGTGATGATTAGCCCCTCCAGATGATAACGTGACTGATAAGCGGAGACCCCGCTAAGAGTCATCCAGCCCGCTGTAAATTTTCCTGGCTCTACGCACACTTCTCGACTCCATCCACTCTCTTTTCTCCTTTACTGCCTTCCAATTCCTGCAGGAATCCCTTCAATTCCGTTTCTGACAGGATGTCTTCCAGCAACGATGTCTACCAGACCCCTCTCAACTCGCGTTATGCGAGTAAGTTCCTCCTGACACCTCCTTGACGATATCTGCCAGCCGGAGCGATATCGGACTAATTGTTGTTCGGGTGTTCAGGCAATGAGATGAAGTATCTCTTCTCTCCCCGGAACCGCTTCTCTACCTGGAGACAGCTGTGGTTGTGGCTTGCTGAGTCGGAAAAAGGTGATTATCCTTTGTCGCTGTGCAACAGCTCTCTCTTTCCATCTCCATATCGCAGTCTGCGAGCTGCCGACTAATCAGACGGCCCCTTCTCCCAGAACTCGGTTTGGCTATCTCCGATGAGGCGATTGAGCAGATGAAGGCTCACCTGGTCATCCAGGATGACGAGTTCAAGGTTGCCGCAGAGGAGGAGAAGCGTCGCAGACACGACGTCATGGCCCACGTCCACGCCTACGGCCAGGTCGCCCCCGCTGCCGCGGGTATCATCCACTGGGGTGCCACCTCGTGTTACTGCACGGACAACGCCGATCTGATCTTCCTCCGCGATGGTCTCGATATCTTGATCCCGAAGCTTGCCGTTGTCATTGACAAGCTGTCTGCCTTCGCCAAGCAGTACAAGGATCTGCCCTGCCTGGGTTTCACCCACGGCCAGCCCGCTCAGCTGGTCACCGTCGGCAAGAGAGCTTGCTTGTGGATCCAGGACCTTCTCATGGATCTGCGCAACCTCGAGAGAGCCCGCGATGATCTGCGCTTCCGCGGTGTGAAGGGTACCACCGGTACTCAGGCCTCTTTCCTCCAGATCTTCAACGGCGACCACGACAAGGTCGAGCAGTTGGACGAGCTGGTCACCAAGAAGGCCGGTTTCGACTCCGCTTTCATCATCTCCAGTCAGACTTATTCCCGTAAGATCGATGTCGATGTGGGCAATGCCCTCGGCTCCTTCGGTGCCACTTGCGAGCGCATTGGTATCGACATCCGCCACTTGGCCATGCTCAAGGAGGTCGAGGAGCCCTTCGAGAAGGACCAGATTGGCAGCAGTGCCATGGTGAGTTGCATTCTCCGACAACGAGCTACGGAATAAAGGCTAACGGGATTTTTCCTTCACAGGCTTACAAGCGTAACCCCATGCGTTCCGAGCGTCTGTGCTCCCTCGGAAGACACCTTCAGAACCTCCCCAAGGACGGTTTAGATACCTACTCTGCCCAGTGGTTCGAGCGCTCGCTGGTGAGATACTTTCTGCCTATTTATTAGCCATAAAGCCATCTGACAATAGCAAATAGGACGACAGCGCTATCCGCCGTATCAGCATTCCCGAGCTCTACCTCTCCGCTGACGCCTGTCTCATCCTCCTGAGTAAGTGGCGACGATGCCAGCTCACGCACTAGAGTTCGATCGCTGACCAGCACATTATCACAGACAACGTCACCTCCGGCTTCGTCGTCTACCCTGAAGTCATCAAGCGCCGTGTCAACGACGAGCTTCCTTTCATGGCCACGTAAGTCACCCAATCATTACCCCTAGAAGAGTAACCAAGCCACTAACAAACTCAACAGTGAGAACGTAAGCCTCGCCCCCGAGACAAAATTATCTGACCACAACCTTTCCTTCACCACAACCACCCTCTCCAATAACAAACGACTAACCACCACTAGATCATCATGGCCTGCGTCAAGAAGGGACTTTCCCGCCAGGACGCCCACGAGGAAATCCGTATGTCTTCCATTCCCCGGTCCTTGGAACACACCAACGTCTCACTCTATTCGATCACTCTAACCACAATCTCAAAATGCAGGCGTCCTCTCCCACCAAGCCGCCGACAACGTCAAGAAGCACGGCAAGGACAACGACCTCCTCGACCGCGTCCGCCGCACCGCCTTTTTCGCCCCGATCCTGGACGAGCTCGACCAGCTGCTTGACCCCAGCACCTTCGTCGGCCGCGCCCCGCAGCAGGTCGAGAAGTTCACCTCCACCGAGGTCAAGAAGGCCCTCCAGCCCTACGAGGCCTCCCTCGCCAAGGCCGAGACGGCCGCTCTGTATGTATAGACACACACATAAAACGTGCAAGCCTGGTAATCAGTTCCGTATGGGCTGTGGGAGACGAAGAAATGTCAAATTAAAAGTCTTTGTAAGAGAGCCAGAAGGGGGAGAAAAGTAGATGCGATAGTCATATTAGTTTTGGTGGGAGTTTTTCCCACTGTTTTTGTGAAGGGGATAAAAGTGTCAGGGTGTAGCAGAACAGAACCCGGGGTGCTTGTTTGGTTGTTGTTATATTGCAAACGAGTCTTGCATATACGGTATATACTTTAATTGATGATAGCAATCGATTCATACTCTAATACGAAGTTAAGAAGGGATTGTAGTCCGTGTGGATTAGTGGAGAGAATATGACCGACCCATTCTTGTCTATTGCTGAGATGACGAGGAGCCGAGATATGTGTCTCGGAGACAGAAGAACGAAATAAGGTGGGATGGATTTTTGACAGTAAGGCCGCGGTGCAGGGGCTCAATTGAGTTGGGCACTCACTGGCCATGAGTCCGGAAAGCTAGAGTCAATCGAAGAGCCGCGGGCCCGGCCCTTGTGTTACTTCCCCAAAGAGGAATCCACGGCTGAGTGCCTGCGGACCTCAGGCCCCTAACCCCAAGTCCGGGCCTTCAGCACAGACGAGCATATACAGTATGTAAAGTACGGGCTGTGAGTGATTTTACTTGCAAGTCATAAGGTCATGATCTATCTCTAAATTCTTATCCGCCTACAAACTCGAAACTCGAAACACGAAACACGAAACACGAAACACGAGACATAATATAACAAACAAAAACGAAGGGGGGGAAAGCAAAAGATAAGAGATGAACCGAAAAACACACGTACACACGAGGTGGAGTATGAGCACATGAGACTTTTTTACCCCTGCAAAAAAGAAACAGGAGTCGAGATGGTCCCGAGTATGATAGGCGGATAGAGAAATCAGGGCAGCGGATGCAATGCCCCCTGGAGTAATATGTGCTAAGATGGAGAAAGACGGAGAAGGGGAGAAGGGGAGAAGGGGAGAAGGGGAGAAGGGTCGGTAGGCTGGAGATCTTGGTTCGACATGTTTGTTTCATTTACTATTACAGTGAAGGCTTATGTTAGTTTAGATGAGCCTAATGGTACATCGAGCAGCCAAGGAAGGGAGTGGGGAATGTGGTGAGACAGTAACGAGCATAACAGAGATGGTAGGAAACGCACCATGCCACGCTCAAACGATATGGTCCTTATGTTCATACAATGTCATCCTTGTCAAGTACTTTGCAGGTAGTTATTTCTCCCAGTCGTATCAGGGCCATGAATGTTGGCCTCAAGTGAGAGTTGTTTCTCTTAGAAGGTTGAAAGCCAGTTGATGATCTGTATATAATTAGATCGAGAAGCGAATGAGAGGAAAAAGAGGGTAACGTACCATCATCGCTTGCACCAGAGCGACTTGCTCACCGTAGTGCTTTCCGTCCCAACTCTCGGCCTGCAGCGTCGCATTGTACAATCCCAAGGCATCCATGCCTCGGGCACGGGCTTCCTTGATAGTGTCTTGCGAATACTGCCAGCTGGAAGCGTGGATGTTGTCCCTAGCGTCCTTCCGGAGGCCAGGGGCGGTGGGACCGAGCCAAAGGAAAGGGGTGTTTTGTTTGGTCGCCTTGGCCATGGACAGCCATTCGTCCATGCTCTTCTGGGCTGCCGGTAGAGAGTATGATGTCGAAAGCGAGAGGCTCAAGATCACGGGGACGGGCTTGCTTCGGTCCGCGGCTCTTCCTGTCAGGCGGCGGAAGTGGTCGCGAGCACTCTTGGAGGCCGTGGAACCATCGGTGGAGAGGAAAGCATGAGATGCACCTTAATTCAACCTACAGGTCAATTTCCAACCCTTAAAGAGAGCTTCGGCATGATATAACCACTCACTGGAGGGGCACGAGTATGGGGCCCGCAAGGCGGGGCTGCGGCTTTGTGCATCAACTTGGTCACTCGAGGTAATACGCAGGGGTAGACACGCTGCTTGGGTGAATTGGGACTCGCATCGACATTTCTGGCTCAAGTCCTTGTCCATTTCCCAGTCTCTAAGAGAGCCGGTCGCGAGATTCTCCCGCAGAAGGATGTTGAACCCCGCATAGGCGTCGGCTAGGGCATCATCCCCCACAAAGACAATCCCATCGAATCTCTGCAGGATCTCACACACTTGAGAGCTGGAGTACCAACGATAGGCACAATCTGGACTGCGAGTCAGCCGGAGGGTCACGAAGGGTTGGTTGCTGTCTGAGCGGATTTCTCGGCAAGGTGCCCGACAGCGGGGCCACAGTAAATCTTGTCACTTGCCTTGGGAGGTGTACGCAGCATCGAACCCATGACGACCACCATTGCTCATGGCACTTAGCAGTTCATCTCGGGTTGAGCAGTACGCTGGGTTGGATGCTCGCCCATCGCCGGTTGACGGAGTGTTGTAGAGGGACAAAGAAGAGATGCCGCACTCACGTCGGCCCACATAATGAGCCAGTAAACTATGTATCAAAGCGGGCTGAATAAGTAACTCTAGCCACTGACTGACTCGCGGGAGACAAAGGTTTAGGGACGGCAGGGCCCGAACTTACTCGGTTTGAGATTCATGGCGAATGGGCCCTTTCTGCGAAGGGGTGAAAGGCAAATAGAAGATGTCTCGGATGAGCCAGACAATATAGAAGACGCCCAACACCCACAGACAAGCCATCAATTTGTATGTGGAGGATCGCCAGGTGACTCTACGAATCAACCTTCGTCCGTTGGGTCCCTCGATCGGACCCCGTCGTGGTGGAGCATTGTTCTGTTGCGTTCCAGAGAATGGATAGGCAAACGCCTCGTTCATCGCGGATGATAAGCCCATTGGTTCGCTATGGGAAGCACGGCGACGAGACATATTGGGGAGGGGGAAACAGGGTTTTTCTTTACATGCACTTGCAGCTGGGGAGGGATGGTAGTACAAGAAGAGGAGGGTTTAGGGAAGATGCATCTGCTGGGAAGGACAACAACTTTCTGGGGGGTTCCGTTTGCTTTAGGGTAACGAAAGTCTGCGTGGCAAGACAGAGACCGAGCAGAGCAGAGAGGCCCGCAGTAGATGGAGATGAGCCCCGCCAAACAGCCCGAGGGGTATTTGGAAGGAGGGGTGAGGTTGATAGTAAAAGTACTGGAGACGAATCCAGGCGCGGCACAGAATGACGGCGATGCTGATGAGACCTGAGACCAGAGAGGGGCACAGAACGGCCAGGACGTCAGGCGCCTGTCCTTTCTTCGTCCTCTTCTTTTATTGTGGCTTTTTGTTTCCGTAACTCACTGTCACCGTGACTCTTTTTCTCCTGGCTTGGTGTTCTCTGCCTCTGTTCTGTCTTGCTTCCTGGCCTTTGGGTATTTCTGTCCCTCGAGGGCTGCCTGCTAGATAGTCGACGCACTCGACTGTCCCACGTGCAATTTCCTTGCTCTCTACACTCGCAGAGTTGCTTTTCCTTTGGGGGTCTCTCCAGTGTTCACTTTGCCCCTGCGAATTAACCAATACGAAGCCTCCAAGGTCTTAGCCACAGGCACGCACAGTGGATGAACCGGGCAGAAATCGGCTTAAAAAGGAAAGATAGTAGTAATCATGGGAGGGGCTAATAGACTGGATCCGAGCCAGTTATGGGCTGAATTGCGGCATCAATGGTAGCATGGACGCGGAAAAGGCAATGCTGGAGAAGTTGCGGATCCTCCCTATCGGGTCTTTGCTGATGATCAGTGAGTGCACGACCCAATTTCAAAATAGAGGTACAACATCAACAATCAGAATTGAAAACAACTAGGAAATCAAGACAACTTTTTAAAAGGGAGATGGTGGGTTAAAAGGAGATGGTCCAAGCGAATTCTAAAGATTAAAGTCCAGGAGCAATAGAAAATGAAAAAAAGATAAAGATAAAAAAATATTAGAAGAAAATACCAATGAAAAAAAGAGGGTTCGATGTCGTGCGGCGCACTTTTGCATCATAGCCCACCCCATTTTTTTTCAAGTCTAAAAAGACAAGACGCCCACAAGGCCGTCAAAATATGAAATGAACAACTAAAGTGGAAAATGAAAGGGAAAACAGTCTAGGAAAAGATCCTCTGCAAGTCAACGAACTGGTCGATGGGTCTCTCGATCCGTCCGCGTCCACAAAACGGGCTAACTTATAATAACGGTAAATAATAATAAATCCAATCCACCCACACACAAATAAACGGGCGCCTCGGAGTAAGAAATTGATCCGGCATATCAAAAGGAGCCTCTCACTTACCTTGTATAAACAGTACAATCAGCCGGATGAGCGAAGTGCTCTGGGGGGTAGGCAGATCTGTTAAAGCAGTAGTGCTTAGACAGTCGCGAGAAGTTTTGCGACAAGATCGGATGTCGAGGCCAGGTAGAGATTAAGAAGTTAAAGGAAAGGGCTGCTTTTGGTGCTCCTTTTTTTTTGTTCGAGGGACCGAACAGTCAGTCCACCGCACGGTGCGGTGACAGCCACTTAAATGATCTGGCGGAATACTCTCAACGGACAATTGGTATTCTGGTTGGTGGGCCAGACAGGTGTCAAAAGTTAACGAGACCTAACCAGACTCCACTATCAAGAAAAAGTTTCAGAGGGACGAAAGACGAAGAATCACGGTCTCTCTCGACGTTCAGCTGTAGTTATATGATGTCGCTCAGGGAGTGACAAGGTCTAGAGTCGGTCCTTGTCAGACCCATGCTAAGGGGTGGTGGGCGAGGATCAAGAGATCGCAGGGTTCCCTTTCGTGGCCCTGCTCGGTACAGGGACTTTTGTTCGACGGATCTAAGGCATCACTGCCAGCGTCGTCGAGCATGACGACGATATGATGAGCAAGACCCAGCCTGAATGGAGCATGAGAGGTGTGGTTGGGCATCGCTTCAATCCCTTTTCTTTTCTTTTTCCTCCAGCCCTATGCGACAGACGGTGATGTCGTGGTATACCTACCTACAGTACCTCAAATGCTGGTCCTATCATCATTATTAAAACCAAGGCTAAGTGTGATTGGGCCCAGTGGGTGTCCTGAGCACTAAGTAGTAGAGAGGAAAAGCTGTCCACGGTGATCACCGTTGCCGCGGCCGTTGTTTAAATAAATCTCTCGCTTGTTTCTCATTGCTTTTTCTTCCCGTTTTATCTCGACCATCCGAGGGAAGGACGAATTTGTCTGTCCTCGCGTGACGATTTATCGGTGAGACCTCATCGCGCTGATCACCAAGCATAGCGAATCCAGTGCAGAATATAAAGACCATTGACATTTTTTTATCAGTAGCGATTTACAGTTGTGGAGGATACGCGAGACTACGGTCAAGCAACCGTCGTTCCCTTCCTTAGGGGTTCCAGATCGAGCGGGATGCTTCAGTCCACGGCAAATGTTCGACCGGGATTCTAGATGGTTGCTGTTTGTATCGGGAGCAGTGAGTCACTGAGCGGTGAGTTGGGAGGCGACAAGGGGGGTTCTGGGGGGGAAGGGGGTAAATGTGAAACCGGCCGGTAGTGGTGACATTTTCGTACTTAGAATCCGGGGAGACACGAGATGCACACAAGCTTGTCTTGAACCTTAAAGAACCGCGGGTAGCAAGCACGACAACCCCGGACGCAAGAAACCTAATCAGGTACCTCGACGGAGTGTGACGGAGGAGAACCAGTGACCAGGGACGCGGATTGGGATGAAGGCTTCGAAGAGACATTCGGGTGGACAGTTCAGAGTGCACAATTCTTACCCCGAGAGTCAGGCGGCTGACCAGTCGGAGTATCTGCGTCGTGCCGCGTCGAACCATCCTCGGGCGAAGGGGAGATCCGGGACGTTGTAACGTGCAGCTCATTTGCACCGGTAATTCCTCCGTGCTCAGTGGCAGGTCTTGGCGCTGGATGATTGTGGTGTGGTGAGGAAAGCAAAGTCAATAAATTGAAGCTAGCTTGGTAGCTGGAGTGACAGACATGGTCTGATCATGAGCAGCTTACCTGAATGAGAAGTAGTCAGCGCATAGGAACAAGTCGAGTGTGAAGTGTCAAGTGTATAGTGCATTCATTCACTCACTGAGTAGTGAGAGTACGGACGGAGTACTCCAATACTTGCTGTATGGATCGGCTGATTATTGCCTGCGAGGAACTTAGTCAGGACGGTACAAACTGCTTCCTCGGCCCATCACGGGATCGGAAGCGGTCTTTTCCCCCCCACCATGGCACGTGACCGTCTTCCCCCGGGAATCGCAGAGAGTCTCCGCAACTTGGAACAACTTTCCCCGAAGGAGTCATTCGCTGCCGCTGCTGCTGCTGCTGCTGCTGCTGCTGGTTGTCCAGCCCAGTCCGCGTCCAGAGCGAGCTTACTTCCCTCTGCCCGCATCTTTCCTTTCCCACTCTCTCTTCCTCTCTCTTTTCCCCTCCCTCCATCTTTCTTCTTCTTCTCTTTCCTTCTTCCCTCTTTCCCCAGACTGCTCGTGTGCTCACCTAGAACCATCTATATCCTCATAAAGGTTTCATTTCTTTTCCATTGGGTTCTTGTGTCCGTCAATCCCGAGTCACCTTCCCACCCTGAGATCCCACTCCGGGGCCTCTTACCGCCCGCCGTTCCGGAGCTCGCCTGCGAGACGGAGGGGACTCCCCCCAACCTCGGTAGTTCTCCTTACAGCTTTCTGCATTCGTCCCAACTTTGATTTTACTGACATCCATTTCTCCTGCCTAGCTGTTGACTTGCGAGAGTTTGTTCCTCATCACATTGGTTTTGACCAGCGCAATTCCAGGCCGTCCGGCCTGATACCCTCAACATCATGTGGAAGCCGTCGGAGAGACTGATGGACACCATCAGACACTATGCCAGCTTCCCAGCGACCGGCGTCTCTCTCCGACAAATGGTTCAATTTGGAGACAGACCATCAGTTGGTATGTGTTGATATGCTTGCGCATCCTGAGATACTTTTTCATCCACATGACGCTGGGGAGATGACCGACATCGGCTAATCTCGTGATCGCTACCCGCATACAGGCACTCTGTTCCGAGCGTCACAATTCCTCTCAGAAGAACTACCCATTCGTCTCGCCCATCGTGTCCAGGATCTTGGAGAACTTCCCGACGGACTCAGTGAGATGCCCTCGATCAAAAAAGTCCAAGATTGGTACGCACAATCGTTCGAGGTATGACTCACCCACCGCCCGCCCGGGTTTATGTCCGCCGGAGTTGTCGCTGACGTCCCCGGCAGGAAATCATTACGCTGCCGCGACCCACCCTCACCCAGGAAGTCAAAGCCCGCCTGCTGCGCCCGGGAAAGCTTAACGGCGGGACCTCGAGGATCCTCTCGGAAGTCACACAGAACCCCAGCATTCGCGAAGGACAGTATCGATCCTCCCCGTCCTCTACGTCAAACGGCAATGGAAATGGCAAGGCTACGGCCGCTCGAAGATATTATGCACCATCCGACGATCAAGGAAATTGGCCACCAGAGCTGAACGACTACAACGAGCGATTTGCACAGACACTCAAGGAAATCAAGCGCAGACACGACAGCGTCGTGACTACTGTGGCCCAGGGTATTCTCGAGTGGAAACGGAAGCGTCAGCGCCTGCAAATCGACTCGACGGTGCAATCCTTCCTCGATCGCTTTTATATGTCAAGGATCGGCATACGAATGTTGATTGGGCAGCATATCGCATTGACTGAACAGACTCACGTAAAACATCCACACTACGTCGGAATAATCTGTACCAAGACAAATGTGCGTGAGATAGCCCTCGAGGCGATCGAAAACGCCCGTTTCGTCTGCCAGGATTATTATGGACTGTTCGACGCCCCCAAGGTGCAGCTCGTGTGCAAAGAGGACCTGAACTTCATGTATGTGCCAGGACATCTGTCGCACATGCTCTTCGAGACCCTGAAGAACTCCTTGCGTGCGGTGGTGGAGGCCAATGGTGTGGACAAGGACAACTTCCCTGTCACCAAGGTCATCATCGCGGAAGGAAAGGAAGATATCACAATCAAGATTTCCGACGAAGGTGGTGGCATTCCTCGGTCTGCCATTCCCCTGGTTTGGACATATATGTACACTACCGTGGAGCAAACCCCAAGTCTGGACCCGGATTTCGACAAGAGCGACTTCAAGGCTCCCATGGCCGGGTTCGGCTACGGTCTTCCGATCAGTCGTTTGTATGCTCGTTACTTTGGCGGTGATCTGAAGTTGATCAGCATGGAAGGGTGAGTAGCGAGTTTTTGTGGCGGGAAATACAAGAAGCACGATGACTAACAGCTCTCACACAGATACGGGACGGACGTCTATCTCCACCTGAATCGACTTTCCTCGAGCTCGGAACCCCTGCAATGACAATTACCAGTCATGAGGGATGGTCGTGTCCGGTTCTCTACTTCCCACAGACTGCATCCTTTCTACTCGGAACCGGATCCATCACCATCACCATCCCAAGGATTGACGCCTATGAACATCGAACGTGCCCGTGCGCGGATGCGCACGCGGGAAGTTTCCGAGCGAAAGCAAGTAGGCGATGCGGCGAGTCTGCTGAACGCTGAAAAGCGCAGATAAGCGACTTCTTGTCTACCACACGAACTCCTTACGATGGATCCTTTTACTCGGCCGTGTGCGCTGCGCGGGAACCAGACACCATGATTTTGGACTCACAGTCTGCATTGAGCGGACTGTTGGCATTGCTTGAATTGGAAAGGCCATACGCAGCCAAAGGAATGATTGAGATGAAAAGCGAAAAGAAACAAAAAAAAATACGCAGTTGGAGATATTGAGATATCTTATGCCAACCCTCACAGAGATGAAGGGTTGCACTTATAACGCCGTCAAAGGGAAAAGAAGAAACGGTTTTGATCTACTTAGATACCCCCCCTTGCCATGTTTGGAAACTAGCCGGATTGTGGGTATACTTTAGATGATGGTGTCAGCCACCACCACCATCCTTTTTTTTGTGTCTGTCTTGTTTAGCTCTGGGCTTGATTCTACTTATGTTTTGTGTTCACATCGCGTGTATAGTACGTTTTATGGATTGATGGAAATCACGGGGTACGGGTTTTGTTTCAACGGCCAGCCAATGTACAAGAGGCACTTTCTTACTGGTACTGTCCTTTGGGGCGAATCGGATAAGGAATCTTTCGACATGCGTCTTTTCCTTTAGACTTGTCTTGGGTCTTGGGCTTCAGGCTCTGTGACCCTGGGGAAGTGGTGGATATGGTATAGCACTTTATGTCGCAGTATAACTGAGTTCCTAGTGTTCAGTTTCCAGCAGCCGTAGAGAATCCCTACTAAGTAGCCCTTACTAGGTAGGGAGTGACTACCTCATGTAAGGGAAGATCCAAAGATCGAGGCCGCCACACCGGCACCACCACCAGCTAAACCCCTCCGCGCGCGCCCTCTCTCCCGCTCCCTCTCCCGCTGCGACCGCCCCTTGATGCCCCTCCGCTGCCTCTCGGGCGTCGACCCCGCCGTAGCCGCCACACTACTACTGTTACTCGTCGTCCCTGTACCCCCTTTCGTCCTCCCGGACGGCGACGACACCGCGGAGGACCCCGCCCCCGCCGCCGGGGACCCGCGATTCGTTCCACTCCCACCACCGCCACCGCCCCCAAAACGCTCCGCTCCCCCCGTCGGCGGCGGCCGCCTCCACCCGGCCTCGTCCGTCTCATACACCTCCTCGACCTGCCGCGGAACAATCAACCCCGTCGTCGTGATGGGCCCGCCGATCCCGACCCCGATCCGGAACCGCCTGTCGTCTTCCTCGTAGTCTGCCCCCGACGGAGTGGCTGGCGATGCCGCAGCAGCAGCAGCAGCAGCCGCTGGCGACGCGGTCCCGGACCTCGATGCTGATCCCGATCCCAACCGCATCGGATGCTGGATCACGAAGCGGTCGCCTTGTAGGCTGGCGGCGGTATCGGGGTCCTCGGGGCTGAGGAGTTTGGCGAGGAAGCGGCGGCGGGTTTGGGGGATGGACTTGTAGTTGGTCAGCCAGGAAAAGGGATGGGATTAATATGGGACGTGGGGAGGGGGACTACCTCTTGGGCTGCGAGGGCCTGGACGGTGAGGAGTTCGCGGTCCAGGAGGACGCAGAGGGCGGCGTGGCGTTCTTCGCGGATGCGGCTGCGGAGCTTTTTGTCTTGTTCGAGGGAGGTTTGGTAGTGTGTGTTGGTTGGGGTTGGGGTTGTGGGTGGGTGGGTTGAGGGGGTTGTGGTTCGATTGGAAGGGTTGGTGGTGGTGGTGGTGGTTTCTGTGAATGTGGTTGCGGTCGAGTCGCCTAGAGTGGTGCCGTTTGTGGTGGGGAATTGGTGCAGGGGGTTTATTGTTGGTCCTGTTTTGATTCAGGTCGTTCAGTAGGTGTGTATCAGTGTGAAAGGCAGAATGGGACGAGAGACGTACTGTCCTGCGTCCGTTGTAGCTGGGATAGCTGCTGCTGCGCCAATACATGCGCCGGCAGGCGGTGCGTACGGCTGCCGATGGAGTCGGAGGTGGAGGTATCGGTGTCGGAGTTGTACGGCTGATCATCTTGGTCGTTGTCGTCGAGGATGATCGGGTCGTCGTGGTCGTGGCCGTGGCTGTGACCTGGAGGCACGCCGTGGATGTTGGGGTGGAACATGTTGCAACCAGTAGCTCTCGCTTCTTCGGAGGATATTGTCGAGAAACAGTTCACGAAGAGGGTGTTGTGTATCGCTGCCTCTGCGAGGGCAAGTCTTGCGATGGAATGCGCTCTTCAGGCGCCGGGGTTGTTCACTATCGAGTGGCCGTATTCGGGATTGGGTGGGACGTGTGTAGTCGGCTTTGCGTCAGATACAGAATATACGAGAGAGCGCGTGAGGTCCGTTTGCCGGTTCTCTGGGACGAGTATAAGCACCCAGCAGACACTAACTGCGGGCGTCGGATATGCGATAAAAGGTGGGGTAGCAAGACAGCGAGGCGACAGACGTATAGGGTCGAACCTGACCAGCAGGATGATCGGTTGGGATGGACGAGTCGGAGTCGGGAGGGCAGGCAGTGGTTCGAATGGGGGCCCGGGCGGCGGAGATGATGCAGTTCTGTTGTCCCTGTTTGCACTGTACTGTATTGTACCTGTGCAAATCCAACGTCATCGACCGACCGCCTTTCAGGCTCGGCTTGTTTACCGAACAACTATATCCGAGAATAAGCTGTATCTACTCAGTAGGAGTATTCGAAAGATTGGTTTCAAATTGTTCCGATCATCGTTCTTTCAGTTATTACTATGTGCTTCCGATCCATGAAATGAGCAAAATGTTCTGATGAAAAGGAAGCCAGCTGTGCTAAAGCCATCTATTCCCAAATGTCCCCAATACGAAAGTTGTCCCGGTTGCCATTGTTGATCTGTGGTGGGAAAATAGTATCCCTGTTGTGTTCGTGGAGGGGCTGATGTGACTTGAGTGAAGCATCGGATTGTCAGGCAATGGATCCCTGAGCTGCGCCCAAGGAGAGAATCCTCCTGCATTTCCCCGAGTACTAGTCATGCTGCTGGAATTATGATTCAGATAATCAATCAAAAGTTCAGCTCCCGACCCGACTGGCATCCCCATCGGTAGTGGTGGCTGGGAGAAAACTGGGCTCGAAGGCGAAGAGACCCTCGTAGACTCTGTTGAAGGGAAAGCAATATCTGTAGCATACATCATTGCTGAAAAAAAGCTCCCTAACACCCATTGAGAGAACCTATGTTCTGACCTCCTTAGATCCACACCTCACGTGAAAAGGAAAAATCCATCAACTCTCTCGCAAACATCCATATCCGGCAATTCCTCAGTAGTAGTAGTAGTAGTCTGATTCGTACTATGCTATGGTCTAGAAAAAAGGTATTTGCCTTGCGGTTGGCACTCATCAGCTCTCAACATCTGTCCCATTGAGTCTCTCCATCTCCACCTCGAATGAGACCCCCAATAATAATGAAAAATCATATCCACACTAACACAAACCAAGAGAAAAAAAGGCAAGAAATCAATCAGCAGAAGTATGCCAGCATGCGAGATTGATTAGATGACAGAAATGTGAATGAGGGAAAAAAATCAACTGCGAGAGGGGGTGAAATCGAAAGAAAGGAGAAAAGTACATCGGAAGTATCTCTAAGAAGAAAGATGCAAATAGAATAAAGGTGCAACGGCCCACCCAGAACCTATACCACACAGACACACGCGTCCCTCCTCTGAACGCCATAAAAAACAACAATGCCGCTAAAAAATGACTCATGACGCCCTCAACGAAGTGCCGCTGATATTCGTCCGCGTGGCCAAGTGGCCAGCCAGGTCGACACGGCCGGGCTTTGTGAGAACTGATAGTTGAACGTATCACTCTAAAAGTTCGTGGCGAGTGAGAGAAAACCGTCTAACATCCATGCATCAAGGTGTTTTTGGGCCATTCATAACCAGCGCCGTCCCTGAGAGATGTCAGTATACATGAAAAATAGCTGAGAGAAGGTGGGGAATCATACCAAGTAGTTTTGTTTACATTATGGTAAGCCTCCGGATGCCTGGCAATGTAGTCCGTGGTCTCGTAGCCCGGTGGATCACAGGTGACGCTGGTGTGCTCGGGGTCCTGGTATATCCGAATATAGTCGAATCGCATGTAACCAGGCAGGTAGCTCTTGATGCTCTCGTTGATCGGGGCAAAGTTCCAGGCCATGCCCAGGTTCATGACGATCGACAACGGCTCAACGGGGATCAATCTTTGGCCGACGTTTCCATTAGGTCCAATGGCGCGACCATCCAGCGTCCAGGTTTTATCCTGGCCAACAAACCAGGTGACATCGCCTGTAGCACCAGGGGTGTATTCAAAGGCGTAGACCTGGTATTCTGAACCGTTGTACCAGTTGTTGTTGAGGTTGGTGAGGCCCGACATAGCCTGCTGATACGGGCCTCCGCGGTAGGAGTTGATCTGTGTAATACTCGGATCATAGACGGCGGCGAAATCTGCGACACGGTCAGAGAGGTAGGGAGAAGATCACGGAGCGAACTAACCATAATCAGGCATATACCAAATATCGAACGGCGCCATCTGCAGACTCTGCGACACGGAGCCGATATAAGCGTTCTGATCACCATTCAACGCAATGACATTAGCCTCGAGCACGTCAATCTCAGGTGCGCCACGCGATCTCCCTGGGGAAGGATGATCCGCGCCAGCGCACGTGCATGCAGGGAGGCGCATCCCCGGGAGGAAGTTGATACCGTCCGGAGAGCTTTGGTTGGGGGTGATGCCGGCGTCGCATTCGTCGTGGTAGCTATACGGCCACATGCCTTCAGTTGTGGCAGCATAACCAGGTCGACCTAGGTTTCCCATGGCCCAAAAGCCTGGCCAGAAACCAGATACATCACCGGAGCCGGGAAGTGAGATACTCGCCTCTAAGCGACCACCGGAGAAGCACAACTTGTTCCAGCTTTGCATCATGCCCGACCGATAAGAGACATTGTGATTGGCGAAAGCATCAAACCGAATCTCAAGGTTTCCATCTCGTGTCGTAACTGCATCCGGGTCATACCACTGTGCGTGACGTTAGTGACCACGATGAGGTTTCAGGCAGACAAACAAAAGCGTACCTCCAAGTCCTGCGTGACACCATACCACAGGTCAACTGCTTGAAAGTAGGCATCATCATCATCGTAGAATGTTCGGCCCGGAGTGTTGAATTCATCCGAAAACTGCATTGCGAAAAATCAGCCACAATTCCAAAGACCAAGCCCGCGGTATGCTGGCTGATTCCATCCCCTTTGGGAAGCAACCCGCATCCTTACCACTAACTGCCATTCCTTGCCATCCGCCGCTGTCTTGCTCATGGCTGACTCTGGCGTTTCCGGGTCTATCAAGCCGGTCCGAATATTGGCCAGCATGGGTTGCTGGCCGACATCGAGACACAGGGGATCAGTTTCATGACATGATGGTCTTGACGGTTTTCTGAAGCTCTCTACCGCCGACCTGGAAAGAAGAAAAGGTAATCAGCATTCATTCTCCGTACAAAAAAAAAGATCCGGGGAGGGAGAAGAGGAAAGAGGGTGGGGGTTGTCTTCCCCCCCGCAACCCCGTCCTCCCTCCCCCGATCAAACTAGATTGCATCCATACATGACAGGGTAGCCGATAAACAACACCAAGAAGCCTATAGTGATCAGGATCAAACCCCCAACATTTGCTATTCCGCGCCTGTTCCATATGTCGCACTCTTGATCGTCGTTGGGGCTCGGTTCGTGCAGGTAGTCATCCTTTTCGATATCCTCGGGGAAAAGCAGCAGTCCCTCCATGGGTATGATGTTGTACTTTTCCGACACCGTCTGCGTGTTCACATCCACCTCATCGCTTCCTGCGCGTGACGGGGACCGTAGATCTTCGAACGGGGTATACACATACCCGCGGGTGTCCGCACTGACGGCACCCTCGGAGCTCCAGCTCGTGCGCCGCGACGACCGGGTCGACAACTCCGTCGACCGCATGCTATCCATCTCCTCCCGGTGGCCGCGGTACGGCCGTGGCGGGATCAGGAACTCAGTTGACTCCTGCGGTGTCGGCGAACCCCACATCGTCGTTTGCAACGTGCCATCTGAGGGCGACTGTATCATCCCTGGCGTCAGCGCCCGTCCAATATGCGGGTGTGGCACCGACGCATAGGGATCATCGGAGTCGGCGAAGGGGTCTTGACGTCCTGAGTTGAGCCGGATGTGAGGAGTTCCACGTCCCGTCGATTTGAAGGACATATTGGTGCGATATGGCGTTTCTGTCCCAATCCCAGCAACAGTTCCTTGCCGTTCTCAGTTGCTATTGATTCACTGTCACCCGCAAGCACAAGATCTAACGCTGGTCTGGAGATCCACCGTCGGGCCTGTTGTTTCCTGAGCCGGTCGACTTGGGGTGATTGGGATCTGCAGGCTTGCTGACTGGAGAACAGCCTCGCTTGTGTTATGGTCCCGCACTCGCAGCAGACACTAGATCTCCATAAATCACGAAGCAACCTTCTCGACACTGTTGTCCACCGTAGTTGAATTGATGATAGGTTACGCGGTAATGACTGTAGTCGAGGCAAGGGCAACGTAAAGAGGGACAGTTGACGCGTGATGAATTGTAAAAGAGACTGAAACCAATCCAGACGAAACAGTGCACCCAATGCTCACAGACAAGGCCCCAGTGGCTGCGCCGACATGAAGATACGCGCGCACTGGAAAAGGATTGGCAGGCTCACCCAGTCTAGAGGTGGGTGATGTTAAAGAAGGTTTGAACGAGGACTGTCGCGCGCAGACAGTGCGGAAAGAAAGAGAAGGGAAGCGAGCGATGGAGGGGAGATGCAAAAGAATGGTACAGGGAGAGAGGGCGCGAATGGAGGTTGGTTGGAAGCAATGCGACCCGTCGCCCAAAGGGGGGTGTGGGAAAAGCGCGATGAGTAAAAGACTGCAATGGAGTCAAGAGGAAGAAGAGGAAGAGAATTAGAAGAGGACAAGAACAAGGATACAGAGAGATCAAGGTCAATTCGAGTCTGGCTGCACCGACTTCCAGAGCCTATTTTTCTTTTTCCCTTTTTTCTCCGTTTCCCAAATTATTTCCATGCGATAATGGCAATGGTTACATAGATGGTCAACTAGTATTACGGGACCCTGGCACTGCAGGTACAGTACATACAGGCAGACACTGCAGGTTGGCTTGACTGCCCGAGGGGAGAGTTTGATCCAAACACAGAACATGGTGGAAGTGCAGGCATCCGCTGATCAAGGGACAACAGTTCTCTCTTGGCCGAAGAATGCTTCAATCCTGAACCCTGTGTACCCATTGGGCCCTGCAGTGGAGCCTATCGGCCAAATGTTAGGTTGCTTGCAACGCTTGTGTAAAAAAAAGAAAAGAATCAAAAAAGTAACTATGAGCCCAGCCAGTGGCGCCCGCATGAGAGTCGAGCATCGAAGAGTTATACTTGGATCTGATCGACTCTGCTACCAGGAACCATGTGATGGAGAACCACTTATGCATGGCTAGCGTGCAGCCTCATTGCCCTGGTTTGACAAGCAGCAGCAGCAGTAGCAGCATGACCTGTACCTAAACGAGGCAGTACTCCTTCTTCCTTGCACCTGTGTATGACCAGACCAGACCTTGGATAATCAACAAGTGACAACAGCAACAACAAGGAGCTGAATGTAGAGAAAGAATCTGGTTGCCGGCGCGAGTAGGGAATGACGGCCTTGAATCCATGGAATCTGGAAATCGCTTGGGGTGGGCCGGAACTAGTCTGGTTGAAGTATCGCCGGGCCAGATTGGAACGGCCACTACTCCGTAAGCAGTCTGGAACTGTAGGGGAAATCCCACTAGCGTCGATCTTTCTTACCGTATCATACCGTGCACACTGCACCAAGAAAGAAAACAACACCCAAAGAATTCTAGCATTCCTACTCTTCGACTGCGACAACCACATTCCATTACCCGTTCACCATTGCTGCCTTGTCAGGGCGAAACTAGTCCTGTCTATACAACTGTATGAGTATAAATAGCGACCGAGTCTACCCATCCCGAATATCCTGGAGCAGTACATCCTTGTTCTCAGTAACTTCCTTCGTACCATACACATACTCAATACTTGGTCCTCTCACCCGCATCGGCCAAGGTCCCGTAACCTTGTAGTCCCAGTCCCCTGTAGGCCGGAACTCAGTTAGCCTCCCCTATTCTAGCTGTGATCCAGAAGGCAGCTAGAGATCACGCACAGACAACGGCAACCCTTTTGGCGCACTGCTCGCCTGGTTCCCCCTGAGATTAAATGTCGTTCTGTCGCTCCCCGCGATATATCGAGTGGCTGGTGGATCGTGCTAGTCAACTAACAATGTTCCTGCTGCACTGTTCAGGGTGTGCCAAAATCAAGGGCAAGAAACTGCTTGACATGCTTCATCTCGAACTCATAGGGCCATCCCCGATTAACGCTCAGCACTGGGCATAGATTACCGTAGTGCCTACTGAGTGGTATCTAGTTAGTGTAGGCCAGCAGTTCGTCGTCCCCAAAACAGCCTCGGCAATCCAAAGAGCCCAATGCACCATGACTAAGACATCTTCAACAAACCTTAACAACCTGATCAAGATCAATAGACCATCCTTTTCCAGAACCATACAGAGTTTACCACATTGAAGATCTACGGTTTCAACAACTAGTTCCAATCCTGCGATGACGAAGCCCTGATGCTTAATTCGCAGGTCTTGGATAGATCATATCTCACAATGACAGATAAGGTCAAAGGCTGAGTGATGATCCAGGAAAATCGGTCAATCACCCGACTGAGGGCGTTCCGCGCATCCTTTGCCTTTCCCCCACCGAACGAACCATTGACCTAAGCCATGACCAAATTAAACATGAGAACACCCTTCAAGACAACTCAGGGAAGGGTCTAGAAAGCTTCTTTTCCGGTTGTTCACTCGGCTATTCTACTTGTTGAGAGCGATATATATAACTGATCAGTCAGTGCTCAGTCTGATACCTTAGAGTGAAATTCACGACAACGGGCTTAGACAGATAGTTTAACAGACGCTCATAAAGTATGCTTAGGCTAAGGCACATTTTTGTATGGGCAACTTGAGATATATAATGAGGCAGATAGCTATTAATCTTTTTAAACAAAAAAGTGCTTCTGAGATTACAGGAACTATTGTGTCTCTTCCATCCAGGCTGATACATGTCTGCTCACTGCGTGACTCGCGCGATATATAGAAAAGCATCCCGTGTATCCCGGATAGCAACTAACAACCACGATAGTATGATCAGTATGTTCACTATTCCATGGTGATGACCATTTGGTCACTAAGATACCAACTGTGATTCAGTCACTGGAATCAATCGGAGCATATATATGCAGCTGACCCAGTGCACAATTACCATCAAGCTCAATTCACAACACAGGGCTATATACCTACACACATCCATAACCTTTTCTTTTTTTCGACAAAACCAATCAACCGCTCCCACCCAAAAATCGCCAACTGCAACAGCATAGGTATATAAATATAAGCTCAATAGATACTAGAATTTTCCACCTTCAAAAACCCAATACCAAAATAATACACCCACCAATCTTCCTACTTCCACATTTAGGCCTAAATACTCCCTATAGATGCTACAACATACTACCCAATCCAATCAACCCCCCCAGTACACCATTTCCCAGCTCTCCTCTAAGAAAAAGCCAAAAGAACAACAATTTCATTACCTCATAAAACAATATACACAACCCACAGCCCCCCCTTCACTTCACACACGACAACCTTTAAAACCCCTAAGACTCAATCGCCTTAGCCCTCAACCCCACAAGCAAGCCTCCCTCCGCCTGCAAAGCCACCACATAGTACTCCACCCGCGCGCTCCCGACCTCAACCCGGTAGACCTTGACATCAACGTCCGCCTCCTCCACGCCGGACGCCTGGCTGGCGGCCGCCGCGCGCACCGCGCGCAGGGCCGAGGCGTACTGGTTCTTGGGGTCGAAGGACGCCGGGGAGAGGGTCTCGATGGCGGAGGCGAGGTCGTCGGTTTCCGAGATGAGGTTGGAGAAGCTTGCTGTTGATGAGTCATATTATTAGTTGAGCTTTTTTTGGTGGTTTGCTTCCAAGAGGGGGAAAATGGAGGTCGAACGTACAAGCATCAGGCCACACGCCCCGATGGGCGCCGTCCCATTTCAGCGCGACCGGCTCGAAGGGCTCGTCGGTTTCGGAGATGTAGAATGCGTCCACGGAGGTGAGTGGGCCGGGGATGCTGACGCCCGTGTGTATGGTTTCGGTGCGCGCGGCACCACCGCTGCTGCTCGTTTGTTGGTTGTTTCGGGCGGTGTCGAGGTCGGCGTTGGCTTTGTTTAGAAAGGACATGTAGGCGTCGTCGGAGGACATGGTGCGGGTTGTGGTGGTGATGGCTTTTGTTGTATTTGGGGTGGCGATCCGGGCGGGGTTTCTTGATAGTAGAACAAGGGTGGTTGTCGGACGGTGGACGGATCGAGATATGCACTGGTGATGGTATAGAGAGGTTCGGGGTCGGGATGGTATGCACAGTTGAGTGGGCTGTTGGTGGGGAGAAGAGGAGGGAACAGTGGGCAAGGCGGGAGAAGAAGAAAGTGATGAAGCCCAACGCGAGATACGATCAATGACGCAATTGCCGCGGCTGCTGGGCGGCCACCGTCGTAGAGGGACGCTCATCATCTGATCGACTAGCCCCACGAAGGAGGGGGGTTTCTTTGGAGAAGATAATGAAGACTAAGTTCGAAATGGGTTTCTAGAAGGCACTGAGGTATATGTGGTACGGTACTAGTCCGGTGTAGACAGGTTTCAAGTTTCGGGATCTTGGGGTGGAAGGCTTGTTCCTGTGGATGGCAGGCTTTTTTTTTTTCACGCACAAACCAACCGTGCACTATGCATCAAATATGCTGATTCCTGTTTAGCCATGGTAGTGATCGATATTACAGTTCTCATTTTTCTACATTACAGAACACGCATGATTCCAATGATTTTGGGGCATAAATTAACTTCTCATAATGTTGACGTCCGACTACGTAAACTAGACCAGAGGGAAAGGCCGGACTAACTTTCCAGTCATGGGAGCAGACTTGAAAGGTATTCGCTTTTTATTGAAAGAAAATATAATTCGCACTACTCCATCCCGAAATGTCCCTAAACACCCTAAGCAGAGGTAGCGAGGTCCTTCTTGAGGGTACCCAGGAAGGCGCGCTTCTCCTCGGCGGTCTGGAAAGCACCGTGTCCGAACTTGGACGAGGTGTCGATCCACTTGAGCTCGACCTTCTCGGTGGCACGGCGGTTGGTCTGGGGGTAGAGGGTCTTACGGAGGGTCATGACACGCTTCTTAACACCAGGGACGGAACCCTTGAGGAGAAGGAAGTCGTTCTTGACCTCACCGTAGCGGACGAAACCACCAAGACTGTAGGCGATGGATTAGCGCGGCTGCTGGCGGAAACCAGAAAACACAGGGTAACTTACGGAGTGATCTGCTTCTTGGAGATATCGAACTCGGTGGAGGCGTTACCCTCATCGGAGCCCTTGCCAACACGGAAGACCTTGTGGTTGCAAGAGGTACGGTGGTGGTAACCCATCTGACCGGCACGGGCAACAGTCCACTGGACGTGGCTAGGGTGCCAGGCACCGATACAAGCGACCTTACGCAGACCCTTGTGAGTCTTACGGGGAAGCTTCTTGGTGCCCCAACGGCTGGTGACACCCTGGAAACCGTGACCCTTGGTGACGGCAATGACATCGATCATCTCGTCCTTCTCGAAGATGCTGTCGATCTCAATGGGCTTCTCGAACAGGTTGCGGGCGAAGTCAACCTTGTCGGCAACGGAGCCACCGTTGACCTGGATCTCCATAAGGTGGGCCTTCTTCTGCTTGAGAGGGGTCTTGCGGATCTGAGTGTGGGCGAGGACACGGACGACAGTGCAGTACTTCTTGACGCGCTCGAGCTCGCGGGTGATGGAGGCACCGCTCTCCTCGGCGTGCTTCTTGGTGTACTTGGTGAAAGCCTTCTTCTTGCTCTTGTACCAGTTCTTGTAGAAGCGACGCTTGACCTCGTCGCTCAAGTGCTCAGCCCAGACGGTGGTGAGCGAGCGGAGACCACGGGGAGTCTCGATGTAACCGACAACACCGACAGCGACAAGCTATAGATGAGAAACATGTAAGTGGTTGCTCGAATCGGGGGAGCGGGCGCCCCAGCAGGCACAGAATAATCTCTTCCTCCTGGTGGTCGGGGTTGTTTCACGTACAGGAGGAGTCTCGATAACAGTAGCAGCCTCAACAATCTCCTTCTTGTGCATCTTGGCACCGGGGCGGTCGAGGTCACGGACGACAGTGGTCATACCGGCCTTGTAGCCCATGGAGGCGGTCAAGTGGACGGGCTTCTTGGGGTCATCCTTGGGGAAGCTGTCGCAAAGAAAAAATTTTTTCAGTATACTGCCTCCCAGATCGCGATTGCACAAAAACTTTTCCATCCTCGAAAGACTGACCTCTTGACCTTTCCACGGTGTCTGGCGGCGCGCTTGCGAGGCAAGTAGGCGAGGGAGCCTGTAGCGACCTGTGTCAGTACCCAGTCCACGCAAAAAACTTCATATCCCAATGTCGTGCGAGTGGTGAAAAGCAAGAGGTTGACGAACCGTGCCGAGGCGCTTCGAACTTCCGGTGACTCCTGGAAATTTAAAATCCATCAGCGATTTGATTCCTTTCGAATTGAACGTGCATATATCGCCGGTGAGGGCGACTTACATCTTGACCCTGTTGTCGTTAGTCGTCGAAGTGGTGAGTGAGAGTGTCTATCTCTGAATTTGGCGGAAGTCGTATTTTGCACGCTTAACGAATTGTGGGCTGATCTAAGCGAACTCTTGGCGTCGGCTTCCGGATGGGGTTAAGCGATGGATGGGCCCGGCTTCTTCCTGCCTCAGGCAGATATATGTTGGCAACCAGGCTCAAAGTTCGCTCCCACCGCCTCACATGAATGGAGAATTCACTGGCACACAAACCACTTTTTCTCATCCCAGTCAAATTCTCGTCCATGTGTCTCCAGTCGGTGGGACCATTGGCCCCCCCCCCTCCTTCCCCTTTCTTTCCTCTTCGGGTTTTCTCCCTAAGAAAGCATGCTCGGCCATGATCTGCCCAGATGTGTCATCTTCTTTTCCCCCCCCCCCCCATCCTTTTGCTACGTAACATGCTTTAGTGGGCCACACGGTCGCACGCTTAGGACATCCATACCACCTCGCATTCTTTTCCAGCCCCGATTTCTTCCCCAATACTAGTAGTTCTCCACGCTTGAAATGCATAGGGTGAGGCTTGGCACGTTGTACTTTCACTGTTCGAATCTCAGCTTCTTTCTCACCACTTGGTGTATTGCTGTGATGTGGTACAGGCCTTTCTACCCTGACTATCCTCCTGTTATACAATCGACTTGGGTGCCCTAAATTGGTACCCGCTGCAATCCAAGGACCCTATAGAATGACTAGTATGTTTTGAACGGGAAATGCGTAACTTAAGGGCTAAAATAGTAGACACTCAATACAGAAACCGATGACCATAAATAACCGTCCCATGAATTGCCAAGACTACAATACAAACAAGCTCTCGTGATAAAACAGCGGGCGAACAGAGTGGCCAAAGAAGATTGAAGAAAAGATATATAGACGAAACCAAGGAAAGGGGGAAAAGGAAGGGTAACGAGGGTAGAGAGGCGTCTCATAGTAGAATTAATCGTTGCGAACACTGGTTCTTGATTTTGGCGTCATGTTACAGCAGTCAATACACCCTGGAGGGGCATGCATGCAAAGGACATCACATCACCGAGCTCTAGACTGCAGGGGTAGACTCGGTTTTCGCTTGGGCGGGCTGGGACCCACTGGCCAGGACGCCATTGCTGCTGTTGTTGGCACTAGCGGAGGGGCTTCCCTTAACAGCGGCAGAGGCTCTCTTCTCATCGTCGCCGTCATCGTCGTAGTTTTCATCTACGTCCATTTTGCGTGCCGCGGGCTCGTGGGCCGGGGCTTGTTCACTGCGAGCTGGCTCCTCCTTGACAGGAACGGTGGCAGACGGCGGACCGGACTGTGGACCATTGGAAACCGTAGCCGGGGTTTCGGACATGGGAGGGAGACTAGGGCCGCCGGCCGGGTGGGGGGGCATGTGCTGGATGGAAGGCAACGTTTGAGGGTGATGGGCCGCCTCAGATGGGTGGTAGTTTTCATTGACTCTGCGTTGGTCCTCACGACGGGCCTCCGAGGAGCTACGGCGCTGCATCTCTCCAGGGGAAGGCATGCGGTTGGGAGGAGTGACGCGGCGAGTCATCTGTTCGTCCAGGCGAGCACGGCTCTCCTCACTAGCGATTTTCTTGGCAGGACCAGGTTCAGAGTCCCATTCTCTACCACGCTTCATAGCAGAGCCAGGACGATCCTCACGCTCGCGGGCAGCCGCTTCTGCGGCACTGATGGCAGAGGCAGGAGGAGGCGCGCCACCTGCAATGCCAGTGCCACTAGGTGGCACGGTGGGGCCGTGGTGGTACTGTTGGTGTGGGTAGGTGGAGCCAGGCGAGGATGGCCGTTCGTCACGAAGGGGCCTGATTTCCGTAGGGGGAGTGAAAGGGCGATGGTAAGGAGGCAGAGTACCGCCAGGAGTAGGTGCACCATTGGCACCACCAGGAGCAGGAGGTGCGGCGGGAGCTGGGGGCAATGGTCCGCGTGTTGCGGAAGAGAAGGCAGCAGAGGCACCAGGAGTGCGATCAGACGCAGGAACATTAGGGTTGGCGAGCTGAGGAAGGGTGTGTCCAGGCCCATAAGCGTTAGGGCCGCCGGGCAGAGTAGTCTTGGGAGAGCGAACGGCCGGCTGAGGACGCACGGCATCGGGAAACACTCTGCCTGGCTCCTGTCGCGGGCTCGGTTGCTGGAGGGAGCTGGGAGCACGGAGAGCATCGCGGTGATCAAATCCGTTGGCGGCTTGGGCTTGAACCTGAGACTGGACTTCGTTGATGCCACGGTTCCAGTCAGCAATCTGCCTCGGGGGGGCGGGAGCCTGCGGGGGTGGACCACCGGTGGGGGCTGGTGCACCCCATTGAGGGGCCGGAGGTGCTCCAACACCGGGTGCTTGATACGCTTGTGGGTGAACATCCTGGGGCTGAGGAGCCGGGCCGTTGCTTTGGCCGGAACCTGACAGCTGGCTCTGGAGGAGTTGCAAGCGGGCCTTGATGTGAACATTGGTCGGATCCAGATCAGCAGCGCGACCGTAGGCATCAAGTGCATCCGCAATCTGGTTATTGCATGACTCATACTAGCGGCGAGGTCAGCATTCGCCCTAATGGCACCTGAAGGACTGTGACCTACCAGAGTTCCCAGATCGTACCACACTTCCGAAATGTATGGGTTCAAGCGGATCGCACGGGAATAAGCATCCAGCGCATCACGGTACTGGTTAATCTGATAATACAGGACACCAATGGAGCACCAGAAAGTCGGGTTGCGTCCGTCGCGGTAGACTGCCTGTTGATAAGCTTCATACGCCTTGGGGTACTTGGCTTGAGACATGTAGCAACGACCCAACAGATACCAACTCTGGGCATCGGTGTTGTCTATTGAATGTTATGTCAGCGTCGAATTGCGTATGGACGAAATGTGCGATGCATACCTGCGCTGACGGATTTCTCCAAGTATTCGATCGCTTTCTCCTGACTGGCATAGTTGTTGCTTTGCTGATGGTAGAGCCATCCCAGCTGTTGCAGGACCTTGGCGTGATTGGGGTCCCGGTCGAGGACCCGTCTGTAGGCTTGCTGCGCAGCATCGAACTGTGGCTGAATTAGCTGCAAATCATTCGCTGTATGGTTGTCCACTTACATCTTTCTGCTGCTCATGAACGTGACCAATTTGGAACCAGATATCCTCTTCCGTTAAGGGACGGGGAGGGTCTGTCACAATGTATTTGAAGCACTAAAGATTACTCATTAGTACAAGATTAAACAAGTCCACGGCAGTGGCACGCCATCTGCAAGATACATACCTCCAGACTCTGGTTGAACTTCTGCTGCTGCTTGTATATTATGCCCAGCCTGAAGTAGATTTCATTGGCCTTTTCGAAATCGGGCGCCATGCGCATGACTTGGGAGAAGGCTTCTTCGGCGTGATCTAGGGAGCCATAGCGATCATAGAGGATACCAATTCCATACCACAACTTGGGCTCCTGCTTCTCATCAGTATTTCTATTCGTATGACCAACAATACTCAACCGGTTACCGACCTTTGGATCACGGAGGTGATAGAGCGCCTGTTGATAGGAAGTGTATGCCTCCTGCAAGTTGTCCATCATCAGATGACAATGACCTAATCGAGTTGTAAGTCAGCAATAGATCAGACACTAAACAGGTTATACGTACCCAGACTGCCCCATGTTTCGCCACTAGTGGGATCCAGCTTAAGGATGTTTTGCAGATACTCAATCGCCTTGGGAAACTGCTCCTTTGTGCGCAATATGCAAGAGATCGCATTCATCGCAGGGATAGACCACTGATTGTGTCGCAGCGCTTGTTCGAAAGCATTCATGGCACCATCAAGGTCGCCCATCAATTCAGTGAGCGCTCCTTTAGGCAGACAGTTAGCGGTAGTCCAGCAGAGACGACGGCCAACACAGTGGCCCTACAACATCAATGCCATTATAGATCTACGTACCGATTTGTAGCCAGACTTGTTCATTCAGAGCAGCAATCTTCTGCGCGGTAGTCAAGGGCGGGCCCTTCTGGCTCTGGGATTGCAAGGGGAGGTGACCATTGACCTGCGGATGAGCTGCGAGATGGCCATGGTGAGGTGTCACACCCCCCGTAGGTGATGGCTGTGTGTGGGCCATTATGTTGATACAGGATTAAGCCGAGACGCGACACAACCGAGTGATGCGGATCCTGACTCTTTATGCTCCCATGCACTTTGCGACACGATGATGCAACGAGCACTTGTGTTACGGCGAGGTCGCACAATCCAGATACAAGCGGTCGCGCAAACTAGACTTAACCACCTGGAATCGAAACGCGACGGGATCCCGAAACGATTCACGCAAGACGGTTACTGCCAAAGCGAAGTCGAACCCACGTCGCGACGGCGGAAGGAGGCGATGGGACAACACGGAATGGGCCGTGGCGCTGTCAAACTCGAAAAATATACGGATATGCAAGCGCTAAAGTACTTGCACGGTCAATCAAGCCCAATACTGCGGCTGGGATGTGTATATGATGGATGGGTGACCCGCCGGTAGGAAAGTTGACAGGAACACGGCAAAGCAAAAAGGATCGAACGGCAGAACTGAACAACAACTGGGGAGGGGGGCGATGAAGCCAAATGACACAAGCAAGGGATAGTGAGATAAAAAGGCGGAAAAGGGAGAGAAGAGAATTGAGGAATTAGGAGGGGGTGAAGTGACAAATGTGAGTTTAATTGGCAGGGGGGGGGCGAGCCAAAGCGAAAGGGAAAAGGAGGAGAAGAGGGAAAGGAAGAGAGAAGAGAGAGAGAGGAAGAGAGAAGAAGAGGAAGAGGAAGAGGAAGAGGGAAGGTCGAGGGGCTGGTGGTAGAGAGCGAAAAACGCCAAGAGACGCTAGTGGTTGTGCAGCTCTGAAGCAGTCAACGAAACCCAAGGAAAGCACGGAAAAGCTGAGATGGCGGTCGTCCGGCGCCAAGCCGAAGACAGGCAGCTCGACCTCCAGGAACGGCCTAGCGGGTGGGGACAGTCTGGAGTCGTGTCCGCGGGTATTTACAGTTAATATTTTCCGGGCGCCGAACTTCAGTTTGGGTCTGGGGGGCGTTGCATTCGTCCCAGCACGCAGCAGCAGCAGCAGCCGCAGCAGCAGCCGCCGCCGAAGCAGCTACAGCAGTGAAGCAGTGAAGCAGCATACATGCGGAGGTTTACTATCTGCTGTTCTTGTTGATTTAAATTTTTATACCGGGACAACAGTGCTTCGATTCAGTGCACAAAGCACTCAAACTGATGCCTGAGGCTGTAAAGCTAGAAGCACACTCCACGCTACTCCTAACCACAGCTCATACGATGAAATAAGCCCGTTACTTGTACTTGTATAATGATCGTAAACAATAGTATGAGGATATATCACCCCCTCCGTTCGAATCGCTTATGCGCAATTAGCGAACGACTCTAGATGAGGGGTGAGCTTTTACAGTAAGAATTGTATCACCATCGCGGGAAAGGGCTTAGTGTCAAATGTTGGCAGGCGGGGGCGAATGTGATAGTGACCTGACCAGTTACGGTACATAGTACTATATACCACTTCCAATCTAAAGGGAAGATGGGACCAGGCATAGAATCAGCAAATTCAATGAACTTGATGAGTGCGACTGTAAGAGACTGACTGTAGACTGCACACTACAGAAGGAAACGGGGGGTGGACCGCGCATGGGGACGGGCGGAGTCAATGGGAGAAAAAATAAGTGGGTATGGAGTCGAACCGCCCCGAAACAGGGCAGTGTTTGACGAGGATGCAAGCGCCGGAGCCAAAAATGCACCTTCAGGGATGGGAAGGGTGGTAAGTCTAGCACGAACCCCCGGCTGTGACTCGCCGAAAGTCTGCAGGTGGACCATGGTCAGCCAGACCCACCCGACCTCACTTCCCCGTGCCACTTTGTCATTTTTGAAAAAAAGAGATTAGAAAAAAGAAACGAAAGGATAAAATCCCAAAGTGGAAAAAAGAACAAAAATAAAAAATAAAAAAAGAGAAACCTACTCGAGTATTATCCTCTTTCCCAATCAAACGCATCATTAGCGGAACAACGCCAATAATTTCTGCCCGCGTAAGTGGGGCTGCAACCGACCTACATGACTGGCGTATGGCCATAAATGCATAAGCTCAACAACCTAAGCTCCCGAGCAAGCCTAGATAGTCAGGCATGAGGCATGAGGCGTACTCCGCACTCGGACCACCTGCAAAAACCCAAATGCTGCACTTGCCAGTCGCGCCCGTCCTGCCGTCCCCAATGACCCCCTCCCACAGTGCCTCAGGGCTCTAACGGACAATACATGCACTTGCGTATAATCTACTCTTACTGTACATATGGCGTAGGACCCCCTGCAGTCCAATCTTCAATCACGCTTTCTCCATCCCCCTCTTCCATGGCTCGATCCGAAATCTCAGTATTCCGTACTTCGGCACAACGATTATCGGTCTACTACCCAACCAGAAGAGCAAGTCAAACAGTCAAACCCTCTTTAAATCAGCCCCCCTTCACCCATCCACCCCTTCAACTTCATTTCTTCACCAGCTCATCTCTCTTCCCCGGCTGTCAGACATGAAGGGCCAGCCACTGTCAGTGCGGCAATCTTGGGCTGGCTGCACACTGCCGGCTATGCTCAGCCGTCTGACAGATTGGCACAGTCCGTGTGGACTTGCAGCTGTCTGCATGGGAGGGGTAGTAGACGTCAGGTTCAGGAGGCGAATATGAACGCTCTACCAGGTTGCGTGGTTTGTGGTACAGACCAACATTGTCATCACTCTGTGCGAGGAGAATGGATTTTCTGGTTTCCTGCTCTTTTCATCCCTCCCCCTCCCTCCTTCCCTCCTCCCACCCCTTCCGTCATGGACTGTTAAGAGGCTGCTTTTCAGCTGCGGGACTGCAGTAGCGGACTTACCTAAGCGCCCGCCCAGATCCCAGAACCCACGCATGAGTAAGTTGTGCTGAGTCAAAGTGTACAGTAACTAACTAGTAACTACGGAGTACTAATGGATGCCTCCGGCAACAGCCACGGATTCCTTACGGATTCCTTGGAGTGGACCTTACCCGATGCTGATCCGTCGGCTTTTCTGTTGATGTCTCGATGATCTTGATACATCACCTGGGTGTGGGCCGATCCTTTTTTCTTCTTCGCGCGCTTTTTCCCCCTTCCTCCCCCTCTTTTTTTCTTCCCTTTCTCTGTTTTCTCTTTAGGGATCAATGCCCTTCCATTTCTTGCCCTCTTTTCCCTTTTTCATCATCACATAACATCTGGCCCTTTCTTCTTCCCTGATGACCTCACCACCCTTCCCTTTCATCCTGTGAGTAGTGAGAAAAATGCCACCTTGCATTTTCGTATTTCTGGCCAGACAATAAATAATCCTTGGCCTTAGACACGGCGGTTGATGCCCTAGAACTTTCTTTAGCTGCCGGTCCAACTCACCGCAGGGTCTCTCCCCAACTCCCCTCAAGGCCCCGACATACCAGCCTAGACTCGGAGCCAGCCGGTAACTACCTACTGGTTTTCTCCCTAAACTCCTACGGGTTGGTCGGGTTTTCCTTAGGCCTGGTCAAGAAAACGCCCCCTTCGTGATTCTTACGTTAGGCCCCTTTTGTCGGATCCGAGCATCGACCTTGACTTTTCCTTCGAGTAGTTTAGTTCGCACCTAATCGAATTCCTGATAGATCCGCCCCAGAGACTGTGTCCATTGCCAACACGACTGAATCGGTGTGGTTAGGTGGCTTTGAATGGCATTGAATCTCAAACAGATCGAATTCCAATGGAATCGACAGATTCAATCCGGCACGGCAGTATGTCAGATGAGGGTTCTGCTTGTTCCTGTTGGGTTGAGACGCTGATCCCGTGGTGGAATGACGGTGCGTGCCCTGGCTTTTCCTACCTACACTGGCTAGCCCCTACGTACTCGGTCTTCGCGACTTTTTTTTTTCCCTCTCTCTTCCAGCCCTGAATGGAAGTACCCGACCGTCCGGAAAGCTGCCAGTCAGAAGAATCCACCCACCCACTCCATTCTTCATACTTCATACTTCCTAGACTACGTGCCCCAGTGCCCACCCCGAAAGAAAAAAAACCCCCCACATACTACTGACTACGGGTTAGATTCCGCTCAGCAATGTATCTCAAACACGAGAACAGGTGTGCACATTGCATCGGCGATCGAGTCGGTATGTGGGTTACTCAAGAGGAACAGCGAGAAAAAAAATAGCATCTGCAGAAGACACGAGTTCGTACGGACCCGGCTGGCCGCTCTTCGAGATGGATTCCATTTTGTCTTACCGTGCACAATTCGGGAAGGGATACACATACCTAAGCAAATGAGTTGTGCTCTGGCGGTAGGCCATGCGACCTGAATAATCTGAGGAGATGCGGTGTGTATACAGGGTCGTCAGGCATGGCAATCGACAGGGCTATATATACCCAATGTCATTCTCCGTAGGTGGGAAGGCTTCGAATCACCCCCCTCCCCCCTTTGACCGAACCGACTGGGATGACAGATTACCTACCCTCCCACACCATCCCCTCCCACCCGACAGTAAGAATCTACTACGGTAATTATCGATCCCATCCCTGTTTTTCTCAGATACAACTATCACCACTTCATGCATGGCGCCTCCTGGGGAGAACAACCCGGGCAAATGTACGGGTATGGAGTGTACTGTACAGTGCCTCCTCCATCATATGTGCGTGCATTGCCTGCTGCAGTCCTGCAACGACTGAGCTCGGGACACACAAAACAGCCCCAGTCCCAGCCCGGTCCGCGCGGGCGGGCGGGCGGCCAGCCAACCAGCCAGCCAGCCAGCCAACCAACAACTCCAGAAATCCTCTCGTCAACAAATAATAATAACCTGGTAGTAGTACCTAACCATCAACACAATAAGGTAACCGATGAGTTGATCCAGTCCAGGTCCAGATTTTGAGTTTCTTTTCACCTTTCCCCCGGCCCCATCTCTCTCCCTACCTACATGGGACACCAGCTCCTGCAGTGTACAGTACCACAGTCTGAGTGTCTGTACGGAGTACTGTACAACAATCCCCCCCACCATGTGTGACTTACTATCTTTGACAGGCTGATCTGGTGACTCCGCTACGATATCTTGCACCAAGGGGTAAGTGTGTAA